CACCGCCACCGCGACGCGCGTCCACCGTCCACCGCGGATGCGCTCGAGGACCATGCACGACCGACCGTCTCGTCGCCCGCACGCGCGCTCGGCGTCGCGCCGTGACGTCCCGCGCGCGCCGTGGCCGTGTCATGGACCATGTCACGAGTCGTGACTCGTCCGTGACCCCCTAGCTGCACCCAGCCATCGTCGGCGTTCACGAAGCCGCACTGCGCGACGTCGCACGAGCGATCGCGTCGGACGAACGCGCGCGCGCGCGTCGATCGTCTCGCGCCCGCGTCCTCGGTCGCGGTCGCTCGGTCGAAGGACCGAAGCGCGCGCGCGCGGGGACGATCGAAGGTTCGGCGGCGGCGGATCGCGCAGGTCGAGCCTCGACGACGACGGACGACGGACGCGGCGATGGAGGACGCGGATGGCGACGACGTCGCGCCCACGGAGGCGATGATGGAGAAGGGTGCGTGTGAGCGCGAGCGCGGCGGCGAGATGAAGCGGAGGATGCGAGGCGCGGATGAATCGCGAAGGATGCGGGGCGAAGGACTGACGACGATCGCGCGCGTCACCGATTCGCAGCGAGAAAGTGGCAAACGCTGAACGCGAAGAGGTATAGTTCGACGAGAAAGTTTGGGTACGTCGAACCGGCGAAGGAGGAGATGCCTCCGGAACACGTACGGAAGATCATTAAGGATCACGGGGACATGTCGAGTAGGAAGTTTCGGCACGACAAGCGCGTGTACTTGGGGGCGCTTAAATTCGTCCCGCACGCGGTGTACAAGCTCCTAGAGAATATGCCGATGCCCTGGGAACAGGTGCGACACTGCTCGGTGATTTATCACATCACGGGCGCGATCACGTTCGTGAATGAGACGCCGCGAGTGATAGAGCCGGTGTTCATCGCGCAGTGGGGGACGATGTGGATCATGATGAGAAGGGAGAAGAGAGACAGAAAGCATTTCAAGCGCATGCGGTTCCCGCCGTTCGACGACGAAGAACCTCCGCTCGATTACGCGGATAACTTGTTGGACGTCGACCCGTTGGAGCCGATCAATATGGAACTCGATCCGGAGGAGGATGCGCACGTGGAGGAGTGGTTCTACGACCACGCTCCGCTGAAGTGGACCAAGTTCGTCAACGGCTCGAGCTACCGCAACTGGCAGCTCCCGCTTCCAGTGATGGGTAACTTGCATAGACTTGCGTCGCAGCTACTGAGCGATTTGACGGACAAGAATTACTTTTACCTCTTCGATCACAAATCCTTCTTCACCGCCAAGGCGTTGGGGATGTGCATCCCGGGTGGTCCAAAATTCGAGCCGCTTTTCAGAGACATGGATCGGGCGGACGAAGATTGGAACGAATTTAACGATATCAATAAGCTCATCATTCGCAGCGCGCTACGAACGGAATACAAGGTGGCGTTTCCGTACTTGTACAACAACCGTCCGCGCAAGGTGGCGCTCGCGACGTACCACTCGCCGATGGTGATGTTCATCAAGACGGAGGATCCGGACTTGCCAGCGTATTACTATGATCCCTTGATCCACCCGATTGCGTTTTATAGATCGAACAAGGACAAGGCGTCGACGTCGCAGGATGACGATGAGAGTGATGAGGAATTCCAACTTCCGGTTGGCATTGAGCCTTTCTTAGAAGAGACGCCGCTGTACACAGAGAACACGGCGAGCGGCATCGCGTTGCTGTACGCGCCTCGGCCGTTCAACCTTAGGAGTGGGCGCATGCGCCGCGCCATGGACGTCCCGTTGGTGAATAACTGGTTCCACGAGCACTGCCCGTCGGGGTATCCTGTCAAGGTGCGCGTGTCGTACCAAAAGTTGTTGAAGAGTTTTGTGTTAAACGAGTTGCACAAGCGACCGCCAAAGTCGACCAAGCGGCGAAATCTCTTCGTGGCGCTCAAGAAGACGAAGTTCTTCCAGTGCACGGAGCTCGACTGGGTCGAGGCGGGTTTGCAAGTGTGCAGACAAGGCTACAACATGCTCAACCTGTTGATTCACCGCAAGAACCTGAACTATTTGCACTTGGATTACAACTTCAACTTGAAACCTGTGAAGACACTGACGACCAAGGAGCGTAAGAAGAGTCGATTCGGGAACGCGTTCCACCTTTGCCGAGAAGTTCTTCGTCTCACAAAGCTCATCGTGGACTCAAACGTGCAATTCCGCCTCGGCAACATTGATGCGTATCAACTGGCGGACGGTTTGCAGTACTGTTTTTCTCACGTCGGTCAACTGACGGGGATGTACAGATACAAGTACAAACTCATGAGACAGATCAGAATGTGCAAGGATCTCAAGCACTTGATCTATTATAGATTCAACTCAGGTCCAGTTGGTAAAGGTCCAGGCGTCGGCTTCTGGGCGCCGATGTGGCGCGTGTGGCTCTTCTTCTTGCGAGGCATCGTGCCGTTGCTCGAGCGCTGGTTGGGCAACTTGCTCGCGCGCCAATTCGAGGGTCGTAATAACAAGGGCATCGCCAAAACGGTCACGAAGCAGCGCATCGAGTCACACTTCGATCTCGAATTGCGCGCCGCCGTCATGCACGACATCTTGGACGCCATGCCTGAGGGCGTGAAGCAAAACAAGGCGCGAACGATTCTCGCGCACCTTTCAGAGGCATGGAGATGCTTCAAGGCTAACATTCCGTGGAAGGTGCCGGGGATGCCCGCGCCAATCGAGAACATGATTCTGAGATACGTCAAGAGTAAGGCTGACTGGTGGACGAACGTCACGCACTACAACCGTGAACGGATTCGTCGCGGTGCGACAGTGGACAAGACCGTCTGCCGCAAAAACCTCGGGCGATTGACGCGTCTGTACCTCAAGGCAGAGCAAGAACGTCAGCACAACTATCTGAAGGATGGTCCTTACGTAACTCCGGAAGAGGCGGTTGCGATTTACACGACAACGGTGCATTGGCTCGAATCGCGCAGATTCTCTCCGATTCCGTTCCCGCCGTTGTCCTACAAACACGATCGAAAGCTTTTGATTTTGGCCCTTGAGCGTCTCAAGGAGAACTACTCAGTCGCCGCTCGTTTGAACCAAACCCAGCGTGAAGAGTTGGGATTGATCGAGCAAGCTTTCGACAACCCGCACGAGGCGCTGAGTAGAATCAAGCGACATCTGTTGACTCAGCGCGCGTTCAAGGAAGTGGGCATCGAATTCATGGACCTATACTCGCACTTGATCCCGGTCTACGAGATCGAACCTTTGGAAAAGATTTCAGACGCGTACCTCGATCAGTACATCTGGTACGAGGCCGACAAGCGTCAGCTCTTCCCCAACTGGATCAAGCCGTCCGACACGGAACCTGCCCCGCTGTTGGTGTACAAGTGGTGCCAAGGGATCAACAACTTGACAGATGTTTGGGAAACGAGTGAGGGCGAGTGCGTGGTGATGTTACAGACACGATTTGAAAAGATGTTTGAAAAGGTCGATCTCACCCTGCTCAACCGTCTCATGCGTTTGATTGTGGATCACAATATCGCCGATTACTGTACGGCAAAGAACAACGTCGTCATTTCGTATAAGGACATGCAGCACACGAACAGTTACGGCATGATTCGCGGCTTGCAGTTTGCCTCCTTCATGACGCAGTACTACGGGTTGGTTTTGGATTTGCTTCTCCTCGGTTTGACGCGTGCGTCAGAAATTGCGGGTCCGCCGAACATGCCGAACGAGTTCATTTCATACCGCGATGTCGAGACCGAGACGCGGCATCCCATCCGTTTGTACTCTCGCTACATTGACAAGGTGCACGTCTTGTTCAGATTTAATGCGGAAGAGTCGCGCGATTTGATTCAGCGCTATCTCACCGAGCACCCGGATCCGAACAACGAAAACATGGTAGGTTACAACAACAAGAAGTGCTGGCCTCGCGACGCGCGAATGCGTCTGATGAAGCACGACGTGAACTTGGGCCGAGCTGTGTTCTGGGACATCAAGAACCGTCTGCCTAGATCGTTGACGACGCTCGAGTGGGACAGCGGTTTCGTGAGCGTGTACTCTCGCGACAACCCGAACTTGTTGTTCTCCATGTGCGGATTCGAAGTTCGAATCTTACCCAAGATCCGCATGGCGACCGAGTACTTTGCCAACAAGGATGGCGTATGGAACTTGAGCAATGAACAGACCAAGGAGCGAACTGCTCAGGCGTTCTTGCGCGTCGACGACGAAGCTCTCAAGGGATTCGAAAACCGCATCCGGCAAGTGTTGATGTCTTCTGGAGCGACTACGTTCTCAAAGATAGTCAACAAATGGAACACCGCGTTGATTGGCTTGATGACGTACTACAGAGAGGCGACGATTCACACCTCTGAGCTTCTCGATCTGTTGGTGAAGTGCGAGAACAAGATTCAGACGAGAGTGAAGATAGGTTTGAACTCCAAGATGCCGAGCAGATTCCCGCCCTGCGTCTTCTTCTCGCCAAAGGAGATCGGCGGTCTCGGTATGCTTTCGATGGGTCACATCTTGATTCCCCAGAGCGATCTGCGATACAGCGTACAAACCGACTCTGGCATCACGCACTTCCGATCTGGAATGACGCACGAAGAGGATCAGCTCATTCCGAACCTCTTCCGCTACATCCAACCCTGGGAGGCCGAGTTCAACGACTCTCAGCGCGTGTGGGCTGAATACGCGTTGAAGCGTCAAGAGGCTCAGGCGCAGAACCGACGTCTGACTCTCGAGGATTTGGAAGATTCATGGGATCGCGGTATTCCGCGCATCAATACTTTGTTCCAAAAGGATCGTCACACACTTGCTTACGACAAGGGTTGGCGCGTGCGATTAGCCTTTAAGGAGTATAACCTGACGAGACAAAATCCGTTCTGGTGGACTCATCAACGACACGACGGCAAACTTTGGAACCTAAACAACTACCGCACTGACGTCATTCAGGCTCTCGGCGGCGTTGAAGGTATTCTTGAGCACACTCTCTTCAAGGGGACTTACTTCCCCACGTGGGAAGGCTTGTTCTGGGAAAAAGCGTCAGGATTCGAGCAGTCCATGCAGTACAAGAAGTTGACGAACGCTCAGCGCAGTGGTTTGAATCAAATTCCGAACAGACGTTTCACTTTATGGTGGTCCCCCACGATCAACCGCGCCAACGTGTACGTCGGTTTCCAAGTGCAGCTTGATTTGACTGGAATTTTCATGCACGGTAAGATCCCGACGTTGAAGATTTCGTTGATTCAAATCTTCCGCGCGCACTTGTGGCAAAAGATTCATGAGTCTGTGGTCATGGACATGTGCAACGTGTTTGATCAAGAACTCGACTCCCTTGAAATCGAGACGGTTCAAAAGGAGACTATTCACCCGCGTAAGTCATACAAGATGAACAGCTCCTGCGCAGACATCTTGCTCTTCGCAGCTTACAAATGGTCAATTTGTAAGCCATCTCTCATGGGCGACACGAATGATGCGTTCGACCAGAAGAGCTCGAACAAGTTCTGGGTCGATATTCAACTTCGTTGGGGTGACTTTGATTCGCACGACATCGAGCGCTACACGCGCGCAAAGTTTTTGGATTACACCACAGACAGCATGTCCATTTACCCGTCACCAACTGGCGCAATGATTGGCATCGACTTGGCCTACAACCTACATTCAGCGTACGGTAACTGGTTCCCCGGGTGCAAACCTTTGGTGCAGCAAGCCATGGCGAAGATCATGAAGGCGAATCCGGCCTTATACGTCTTGCGCGAGCGCATCCGCAAGGGTCTGCAGTTATACTCGTCCGAACCGACGGAGCCGTACCTCAACTCGCAAAATTACGGCGAGCTGTTCAGTAACCAAACTATCTGGTTCGTCGACGATACCAATGTGTACCGCGTGACGATTCACAAGACTTTTGAGGGTAACTTGGTGACCAAGCCAATCAACGGAGCGATTTTCATCTTCAACCCGCGCACTGGCCAACTCTTCCTGAAGATCATTCACACGAGCGTGTGGGCTGGTCAAAAACGTCTCGCGCAGCTTGCGAAATGGAAGACCGCGGAAGAAGTTGCGGCGCTAATTCGTTCGCTTCCGATCGAAGAGCAACCGAAGCAAATCATCGTCACGAGAAAGGGCATGCTCGATCCACTTGAGACGCACATGCTTGATTATCCAAACATCGTCATCAAGGGAAGCGAATTGCAACTGCCGTTCCAAGCTTGCATGAAGATTGAGAAGTTTGGTGATCTAATTTTGAAGGCGACGGAGCCGCAGATGGTGCTCTTCAACATTTACGATGATTGGCTGAAGACCATCTCTAGCTACACCGCTTTCAGCCGCTTGATCTTAATTCTTCGCGCCCTCCACGTGAACAACGAGAAGGCCAAAATGATGTTGCGTCCAGACAAGAGCGTCGTCACGCTCCCGCACCATGTGTGGCCAGACCTGACCGACGAGCAGTGGATCAAGGTTGAAATCGCGCTCAAGGACTTGATCTTGGCCGACTACTCGGCGAAGAACAACGTCAACGTTTCCGCGTTGACGCAAAGCGAAGTGCGAGACATTATACTCGGTGCCGAGATTACGCCGCCGTCCGTACAACGCCAAGAGATTGCAGATATTGAGAAGCGTGGTCAAGACGCGAACCAACAGATCGCTGTCACGACGAAGACCACCAACGTCCACGGCGACGAGCTCATCGTCACTACGACGAGCCCTTACGAACAGGCGACGTTTGGAAGCAAGACAGATTGGCGCATTCGGGCAATTAGCGCCACCAATCTGCACTTGCGCGTTAACCACATCTACGTGAACAGCGACGACTTGAAGGAGACCGGTTACACGTACATCATGCCGAAAAATGTGTTGAAGAAGTTCATCATGATAGCAGACTTGCGAACACAAATCGCCGGCTATATGTACGGAGTCTCCCCTCCAGACAATCCGCAAGTCAAGGAAATTCGCTGCGTCGTGATGCCGCCGCAGTGGGGTAATCACAGCTCGGTGAACTTGCCGTCCGCGCTCCCGGAACACGACTACTTGAGCGACTTGGAACCGTTGGGTTGGATCCACACTCAACCAAATGAGAGTTCGCAGTTGCAACCGCAAGACTGCACGCAACATGCTAAGATTTTGGAGCAAAACACATCTTGGGATGGTGAGAAGTGCATAATTTTGACGTGCTCGTTTACGCCCGGTTCTTGTTCGCTGACGGCGTACAAAATCACGCCGGGTGGCTACGAGTGGGGACGAGCAAACAAGGACATGACGAGCACGAACCCGCAAGGATACTCTCCGGGACATTTCGAAAAGGTGCAAATGCTTCTTTCCGATCGTTTCTTGGGCTATTATATGGTTCCGGATGGCGGTTCGTGGAACTACTCGTTCCAAGGCGTTAAGCACTCCGCAGGCATGAAGTACGCGCTCAAACTCGGAAATCCGCTCGAGTTCTATCACGAAAAGCATCGACCGACGCACTTCCTAGAATTTGCCTCGCTCGAAGCGGAAAAACCAGAGGAGACGGCGCCGATGGATCGAGAAGATGTCTTCGCATAAACGACGCAATTAGCGACACAAAATGTATCATAATTTCATTTCAACGAATACTTGTACCGGTACTACCTATGGTAATGAACGTCAGTATAAGCGCAAGCCGCCGGTAATCGCGTCGATGTCCGACGACGCGGCTGGTCCGATGGCGACCACCGTCTTCGTCCCTGGATCCACCTCGGTTCTCCCCGCGTCGAGCACCTCAAAAACGTTCAGGCGTGATCTGCGTGCTTGTTCCACCAGCTCGTCCATCTTCCGCAGCGACTTTACGCCGAGCGCCACCTTTTTCTGACCGTCCGCTTCCCATCGACCCAGGAGCATGCGATTTTCCATCACCAAACTCACCGCGCCGACTGCTGCGTGTCCCGCCTGCGCCGCAACCTTCCCAGCCCCCATCGGCAAGTCTTCTCGAACGAGTAACACCATCTTATACTCCGTCTCCGTCTTCGTACCGTTATCCGCCAATCCAAACCTCGAATCATCCTCGTCCTCTATCTCTTCTATTATAGGCACTCCGTTCAGTTTGTTCGCCTCTCTCAGTTCCAACGCGCGTTGTCTCCGAGCTCGACGCTCCCGAGCTTTGTCCTCCTCGCGCGCTCTGATTCGTCGGTCGACTTCATCCACGGCGAACCAAGCGGCGGCGCTCACGCCGAGCGCGAAACCAAACAGACCGAAACGAAACTTTGGTGGTAGAAAACCCAGGGCGAAGATTTGGTTCGTCAGGCTCCGACCGCGTGAGCGTCTTCGCGTGCGCGGCGCCGCTGGTTTTCTGGACGCGCGAGCGACGGTGGCGTCGGTACCAGTGACGGTGGCGTCGATCGCATCGCGCGAGCTTTGGGTCAGGCCGCCGCGGGACATTGCTGCAGAGGCACAGTGAGGCCACAGCGAGACGCGGCTGTACGGGCTATTACTATGAGAAACTACATGTCTTGCGCTACCGTGAAATGTACTTCGATTTACGCACGGCCCACTTACGAAGGAGCTTTGAAGGGTCGTTGACTGATTCGAGGAGCGCGCGCTTGCGGCGCGCGTGCTCAACTCGATTGCGCGCGCGAGTCTCCGCTTCGGCGACGCATCGCTCGTGCGCCGAGACTAGCGCTTCGCGACGAATCTCGACATCTTGCTCCGTGAGTGTGTGCGTCTCAGCGTATTCCTCGAGTTTCCGAATGGCGGCGTGGAGTTGGGCGTCGCGACGAGCTATGCGCTCGCGGTCGCGCTCCTCCTTCATTGCGCCCGCCGCACTGGCACGCTCAATGTACTCTTGCCATCGCTCGAGCCCTGGCGTGAGCAAACCCTCAGTGGGGTACGCCAAATCTTTGCCCACAACGAGAGGGCGACCGTCAACGTCTCTTCGAATGTGCACGAGGGCGGAATCCTCCTCGGGCGTAACGCGTTTGGCGTCAGGTGCGTACTCATCCGAATACTCTGAGTATCCGGACGAATCCGAATAAGAGTCGGAGTACGAGTCCGTGTACGAATCCGAGTAGTACGAATCGGAGTGTGAATCCGAGTTGTACGAGTCCGAGTACGAATCCCTCAGCCGACGCGGCCAAGAGTCGCCTCGAAAGCGTATCTTGCTTGCCTCGGCCATTCGGCGTCGTTCCGCCTCCTCCTCCTTGCCAAACTCATCGCTCGCGCTTGCGCTCGCGTCGTCACGGGCTCGACTCGCGTCAAGTCCCACCCCTTGCTTGAAAACCACTGCGGGGCGGTGCCCGCCCGTCTGCTTTGACTTCATCTCTGTGCGCAGCGCCTCCATGCGCTGCGCCTCGGGAGCGCGCGCAAGCGCCCGCCTTCGCAGATACATAGCCGCCTCACGTCTCCTTCGAGCGAGCATGCGCTCTTCATCCGCAGTTAACGTCCCTAAAAATTCCTTCCGCTCCAACATGTCTTCGTACTCGGCCACCTCACGCTCACGCGTGGTGCCCAAAAATCTCACAAACGCCTGCTCTGGACAAATCAACCCACACGTCGCGTCTCGCACCGCCGCGCATTGCGATCCGCTCGCGAAGCAGTAATCCCTCGAGCACTCCCAAAAGCATAACCTCGCTCGAAACAGATCGCAGAATCCGACTTCGTCGTCGATCAAACCCTCGTCGTCGGCGGTTATGGGCTCTCTCTTGCGGCCCGCGTGGCGGCCCGCGCCGCCGCCCCCCTCGGCCAACACCCGCGCCGCGACGATCTCTCGCTGCTTTTTTGGCGCTTTACTCTCCGCAGTCGCGTCGCGTCCGCTCGTCGTCGTCGCCGCGTTCGTCGGGCTCGACCGCACTCGTTCGCTCGTCATGATTTCCTCGAGCTCAAACGTGCGGCCCGTCTCGCGGACGTTCGCGTCGTCGTCGTTGCGAACGTCCGTCCGACGCGCGTCGTCGTTCGCCGACGCGTCGTCGTCGTCGCGCGCGTCCACCGACGCGATAGACGACGCGCTCGTGCGATTCGGTAAACTCTGGACAGGCGCGGCGCAGTGCCGAGTTCTCGTCGCCGAGAGCGCTCGACGGTCGTTCTGGAGGGATTACGAGCACATTGAATGCGTCGTGAGATCGTACCTGAGGGTGTTCCCACCGAACGGGCCGCACGGCGTGGACGTCGTCGCGCTGTGCGTGAGGGAGCCGCGCGCGCTCGCGTTGTCGCTCGAGGCGTTCGTCCAGGGCGTTGTTCGAGCGACTCAAGTCCTAAATGTGGGCGGACGACAGATCACATTGGCCCCTGGGTTGATTATGTGTTCCGAGAGCGAGTTAAGGTTGGGTATCGAGGCGTTGACGCGCGCTGTCGGCGAGCGCGAGGCGAGACGTCTGACGCTCGAGCAGCCGGATAGAGTGTTACAGGAAGTCGGGTGGTACGACGACGACGCGGACGAGGACGTGGGTACGGGTGCGGATGCGTCGTCGATGGAGGTGATGCAGGCGCTCAGACATTACGCTCGAGTGGTCCCGCCCGCGGGTTCGATCGACGTGGACGAACGCATGGCGGACAGAGAGAGGAACGCCAAGAAATTCCATGTTCAGAAGGGATTATAACCATCGTTTGTACTAGTACTACCGGTACGGTACCGGTACTAGTAGTACAAGTACTAGTATTGCATACGTGCGCGCACATCTACTTAGACGATGTCGATGCCGTCGTCGTCGTCGTGACCACCGCCAAGGGTGGAATCAGACACATCAGTTGTGAAATCGCCTTCACCGTCCCATCCGTGCCCGATGTACATCCACGTAGGATCATCGCTATTCGAATCGGCCTCTTCTTCTCGTTTCGTCTCGGGTAACGCCAATCGCGGGCGGTGCTGAGTGCTGGCACCGCCAGCTTCGAGTGAGCCTTGGACTCGAATATCAGCCAAACGTGCAGACACCTGCTTTGCAAGCTGCGTGTCCACTTCGGAGAGCGCTGCGCTCGCGATGGAGGCCATCATCTCCACCTGTCGACGAGCCTCCGTCAGAGCGTGGTCTGCTCGGTCAACCGTCTCACCGAGAAGCGCGGTCGACCCAACGACTTCCAGCACCTCTCCGTCAACCGAATAGAGAGTAATCGGCGACTGCGCCGGGTTCGCCATCCAGTCATCGGCGACGTTGATGCGCGCCACGCCGTGGGTGTGAATATTATCGAGTGCCATGGCCTTGTTATTGCCGGGTTGCCACGTGATCATGTGCGTGTTACCGTAGATCGATTCCATGCGCGGCTCGGTCGTACCCCACGGCGGCCAGTATGGTGGTGTGTCACCGGGTACTGCGCCCACAATTTTCTCGATTACCACGTACTTGTATTCGTAGTTCAAACCAGTATTTAACATCATTGTTCCCGTCCACTTGTTGCCGTCAGTCCAGGTGAGCTTCAAACCTTTTTGAATGGACCAATCGCACCACGTGCCGACCGCAAGCACCCGTTGTCCTGGAATAGTCTGGAAGGGAACGCTGAATTCCACTGGGATTATGTGTCCGGTCTCCGTCGTGCTTGTCGCGGCGATTGAAGATTGCAGATCTTTGAAAGTAGCGCTCGACTCTGCACTCGCTTGCGATAGAGATCTTTCCATGTCTCTAATGCGGGTTTGCGTCACTTCCAATGCTTCATCGAGCGACGCCGATTTACCGAGCTCGGCGAGTTCTTTCGCAATTCTGCGTTCAAGCGCTCCGAGACCTCGCGAACATGTTGCGAGAGTTTGCCGACATGAGCTAATTTGGGCGCTCATAGCGTCTAACTCAGCGCGAAGCATTCGAGCATCGATGGAACCATCTTCACCTCCTCCTTCGACAAGTCTCAACTGATCCTCTGTCTGCTTCTGCCGACGAGCCACTATTTCAATGCGTTGGACCATATTGCACGCAGTGATGAAAGTTTCGTCCGCCGAATCTGGAATGAAGGCCCCATCGGCTGCGTTAAATGCGTCCACAGGTAGGACATCGAATCTGGCACTTGATTCTGGTCCGGACGAATATTGCAGCATGTAGTGATCCGCCAACTCCTTGGCTTCCAGTAACTCTTCGCGCAGCTTGGAATTTTCCTTGGTTAACTCATCTTGTTTACCACGCTCCTGTTCCAATTCGATATCACGAGCTCTCAGAGCCGCCTCGAGCGACGACTTATCCTCTAGCAATTTCGACACTTGGTCATGCAATCGAGCAACTTGCTCTGCGTCGACATCTTGTCTACTTCGCGTCAATTCAGAGCGTGCCAAGTCGACATCGAGTTGGTAACGTTGTTTCTCCGTCTGAAGTGCTCGCATATCGGCCAGAGCCTCATCAAGGGCTGAATCACTATCACGCAGCTTATCCTCAAGTTCCTGTTGTGTACGTAGGAGTGTCTCCACCGTTGCCAGAGCTTGATCTCGGGCAACTTCTGCCGTCTTCAATGCTTGCTCGGACTTTGTCTCAACCTCCAACAGGCGGTCGATCTCAGCATGGAGAGAGTTGCGTTCAGCCTCGAACACGACTCGATCATTAGCAAGAGCAACGCGCATACTGTCCAGTTCGAATTCTGCGTCCTTAAGTTGCGATAACAGAGCGATGTGCTCAGCGTCCGAACCGGTCGATAATTGGGCAGCTTCCGCCAGTTCATGTCGATCGAGCTTGCACAGAAGCACATCAAGCTCGGCCCGAAGACCGTCGCGCTCAGACTCCAAAGCAGATTGCCTCTCAGCCTGGTCGCTGAGCACGCGCTCAAGATCGGCGTCGCGGGCAGCGAGCTGCGCCTCAAGCGTAGCGCGCTGTGCATCAAAATCAGACGACGAAGCAACCTGAACCTCTTCCAGTTCATGTAGCTTGGACACAAGCGCATCCAACTCAGACTGGAGCGACGCGCGCTCAGACTCAAGCTCAGCGATGCGAGCAGAGCGAGACTCCCCGGAAGCCTGAGACTCGATCAACTCCGCGCGCACACGCTCCAACTCAGCAAGCTCGGCCCGAAGACCGTCGCGCTCAGACTCCAAAGCAGATTGCCTCTCAGCCTGGTCGCTGAGCACGCGCTCAAGATCGGCGTCGCGGGCAGCGAGCTGCGCCTCAAGCGTAGCGCGCTGTGCATCAAAATCAGACGACGAAGCAACCTGAACCTCTTCCAGTTCATGTAGCTTGGACACAAGCGCATCCAACTCAGACTGGAGCGACGCGCGCTCAGACTCAAGCTCAGCGATGCGAGCAGAGCGAGACTCCCCGGAAGCCTGAGACTCGATCAACTCCGCGCGCACACGCTCCAACTCAGCAAGCTCGGCCCGAAGACCGTCGCGCTCAGACTCCAAAGCAGATTGCCTCTCAGCCTGGTCGCTGAGCACGCGCTCAAGATCGGCGTCGCGGGCAGCGAGCTGCGCCTCAAGCGTAGCGCGCTGTGCATCAAAATCAGACGACGAAGCAACCTGAACCTCTTCCAGTTCATGTAGCTTGGACACAAGCGCATCCAACTCAGACTGGAGCGACGCGCGCTCAGACTCAAGCTCAGCGATGCGAGCAGAGCGAGACTCCCCGGAAGCCTGAGACTCGATCAACTCCGCGCGCACACGCTCCAACTCAGCAAGCTCAGCCCGAAGACCGTCGCGCTCAGACTCCAAAGCAGATTGCCTCTCAGCCTGGTCGCTGAGCACGCGCTCAAGATCGGCGTCGCGGGCAGCGAGCTGCGCCTCAAGCGTAGCGCGCTGTGCATCAAAATCAGACGACGAAGCAACCTGAACCTCTTCCAGTTCATGTAGCTTGGACACAAGCGCATCCAACTCAGACTGGAGCGACGCGCGCTCAGACTCAAGCTCAGCGATGCGAGCAGAGCGAGACTCCCCGGAAGCCTGAGACTCGATCAACTCCGCGCGCACACGCTCCAACTCAGCAAGCTCGGCCCGAAGACCGTCGCGCTCAGACTCTAAAGCAGATTGCCTCTCAGCCTGGTCGCTGAGCACGCGCTCAAGCTCGAATTCAATCGAGTCACGCTCGATCTCAAGTGATGACAGATCCTGGCGCGCGCGCTTCAGCTCGACATCACGAGCGGCAAGCTGTTCCTCAATAGCACCACGCTGCGCATCAAAATCAGACGACGAAGCAACCTGAACCTCTTCCAGTTCATGAAGCTTGGACACAAGCGCATCCAACTCAGACTGGAGCGACGCGCGCTCAGACTCAAGCTCAGCGATGCGAGCAGAGCGAGACTCCCCGGAAGCCTGAGACTCGATCAACTCCGCGCGCACACGCTCCAACTCAGCAAGTTCAGCCCGAAGACCGTCGCGCTCAGACTCCAAAGCAGATTGCCTCTCAGCCTGGTCGCTGAGCACGCGCTCAAGATCGGCGTCGCGGGCAGCGAGCTGCGCCTCAAGAGAAGCTCGCCCTGAGGCATTGTCAGCGTCATCAGAGAACGACGCGAGTCTTTCTTCAAGGTTGGCAATCTTAACGATCATGGCGTCCCTATTGCTGAAGCTTCCTTCAATTCGAATGAACTTTTTACTTCTCTTCTTGCTCTTCTTTTTCTTCCTGTTTGCCTCTTGACTTATATATTGCTGCTGAGATGGCGCGTCGACAGTAGTCAACTGCTCAGTCTCAGCGTGGAGTGCTTCACGTTCAGTATTGGTCAATGCTTGCAAATCCGTCATCTCAGCGCGAATGCGATCGATTGCCGCGTTCCGATCGGCAAGCTTCGCTTCAAGCTCTATACGCAATGAGACGATGTTTGCGTTGCTTAATGGCGTCATCGAAAGTTGCGACTCAAGAGCGCGACGAGATCGCTGCTCCACTTCGTCGTATGATTTTTCCACATCTTGTTCCCCACCCGACGCGTCATCGGAATTTGATTCTCGAGTAGCTAGGCGCTTCAGCTCTGCTTGAAGAGCGAGGCATTCCGACTTCAGAGAAGCCAGAGTTTCTGCTTGTGAAGCTGCATGATCGCGTTGCTCCACCAGTGGCTCATCCATCTCAGAGAAAAGCTGAGCATGTGAGTCCATGGCACTTAATACGTCGTTAGAGGATTCCTTAAGCCTATGAATTGTTGCTTCGCGAGCCACGATCTTCTGCTCAAGCTCATGCAACGCCTTCAAGTGGTCTTCGACTCGGACGAACTTTTTGCCTCTCTTCTTGTCTTTCCTCTTGAGGTCATCACGCGCCGCTTTCATCGCCGCAAGCTGGGCACGAAGCTCCTCCAGCTCGAGTTCAGACGCGAGCTCAGACTCGAGACGCTCCTTTTCGACTAGCGACAGTCGACGCTGCATGCGATCAAGCTCTTCCTCGTGAGCACAGCGCTCAGAAAGTATCGCAGCAATCTCAGCTTCAAACTGAACGCGCACGCCCTCCAGCTCGGCGTCACGGGCAGCGAGCTGTTCCTCAAGCGCAGCACGCTGCGAATCAAAATCAGACAGCGAAGCAGCCTGAACCTCTTCGAGTTCATTAAGCTTGGACACAAGTGCATCGAGCTCAGCCCGAAGACCGTCGCGTTCAAACTCCAAAGCAGATTGCCTCTCAGACTGGTCGCTGCGCACGCGCTCCAGCTCGGCGTCACGGGCAGCGAGCTGTTCCTCAAGCGCAGCACGCTGCGAATCAAAATCAGACAGCGAAGCAGCCTGAACCTCTTCGAGTTCATTAAGCTTGGACACAAGTGCATCGAGCTCAGCCCGAAGACCGTCGCGTTCAAACTCCAAAGCAGATTGCCTCTCAGACTGGTCGCTGCGCACGCGCTCCAGCTCGGCGTCACGGGCAGCGAGCTGTTCCTCAAGCGCAGCACGCTGCGAATCAAAATCAGACAGCGAAGCAGCCTGAACCTCTTCGAGTTCATGAAGCTTGGAAACAAGTGCATCGAGCTCAGCCCGAAGACCGTCGCGCTCAGACTCCAAAGCAGATTGCCTCTCAGCCCGGTCGCTGCGCACGCGCTCAAGATCGGCGTCACGAGCGGCAAGCTGTTCCTCAAGCGCAGCACGCTGCGAATCAAAATCAGACAGCGAAGCAGCCTGAACCTCTTCGAGTTCATGAAGCCTGGACACAAGTGCATCGAGCTCAGCCCGAAGACCGTCGCGCTCAGACTCCAAAGCAGATTGCCTCTCAGACTGGTCGCTGCGCACGCGCTCCAGCTCGGCGTCACGGGCAGCGAGCTGTTCCTCAAGCGCAGCACGCTGCGAATCAAAATCAGACAGCGAAGCAGCCTGAACCTCTTCGAGTTCATGAAGCTTGGAAACAAGTACATCGAGCTCAGACCGAAGACCGTCGCGCTCAGACTCCAAAGCAGATTGCCTCTCAGACTGGTCGCTGCGCACGCGCTCCAGCTCGGCGTCACGAGCGGCAAGCTGTTCCTCAAGCGCAGCACGCTGCGAATCAAAATCAGACAGCGAAGCAGCCTGAACCTCTTCGAGTTCATGAAGCCTGGACACAAGTGCATCGAGCTCAGCCCGAAGACCGTCGCGCTCAGACTCTAAAGCAGATTGCCTCTCAGCCCGGTCGCTGCGCACGCGCTCCAGCTCGGCGTCACGAGCAGCGAGCTGTTCCTCAAGCGCAGCACGCTGCGAATCAAAATCAGACAGCGAAGCAGCCTGAACCTCTTCGAGTTCATGAAGCTTGGACACAAGTGCATCGAGCTCAGCCCGAAGACCGTCGCGTTCAAACTCCAAAGCAGATTGCCTCTCAGACTGGTCGCTGCGCACGCGCTCCAGCTCGGCGTCGCGGGCAGCGAGCTTTTCTTCTAACGTTGCACGAGAGCGGTCTAATTCGGCAGACTGTCCGTCCAATTTTCCTTCGAGCTCGGCACGTTTGAGTTCTTCGACGCTTGAAAGCTCTTCCAATTTTGCAGTAAGAGAATCACACTGTTTTTGAAGTTTTACGCGTTGAGTTTCCGATGACTTCTCCAGATCATCATGACGTTTAACCAATTCGGCAAGACGAAGTTCGAGCTGATTACGATTCTCGATGGATTCATCAAGCTGTGCCAGCGCATTAGAAGCATCGTTATCTAAAGCCGCTCGTGCATCAATAGCGACTTGACGCTCACTTTCAAGTCGTTGGAGCTCACTCTGCAGATAATCGCGTTCATGTCGCATCTCCACCAGGGCTTGCGCAGAGTGCTTAAGTTCCGTTTCCTTCGAGTCTAGGGCATCTGAAACGGACTCAAGTTGAGCCTCGAGGTACTTGACCCTGGAAATTGATTCCAACTCAGTGGCTTCAAGTTCTCCAATACTCTTCAGAGCTCGCTCGAGATCGGAAACAACGCTATCACGCGCCCTCTCAACCTCCGTCTTGGTGCGCAGAGCGTCCGAGAGAGATGTTTGAGCGACCTTGTATTGTAAAAGGATATCTTGCATTCTTGCGTCAGGTTCATCAGAGGACGGGTCGCTCAACGCTGCAGCGAGCTCAGCCTCAAGACGTGCGATGTCATTTCTCATACTTTCAGTCAGCGATTTCTGATCTGGAGCGGAACCGAGTAGTGAGTTGAGATCCATGATGACCTCATCTTTTTCCGTGACCTCGTCATTCAACCTGGATACGTCGGCTTCTAGATTTTGAATTTGAGAAATGAGCGAATCCACTTCAGCAGTTTTTCGTAGTCTTGAGACTTCAGACTCCAACAGCAAGCGCTTGGACTCGGACTCTTGAACCACCGTAATCGCCTCGCTGAGTCTTTTTTTGAGGACCTCAGTCGCGTCATCGGGAAGTATGGCGCTGAACGACGGATCACTTGAAGCCGCTGCAAGCTCAGACTCGAGACGTGCGATATCATTCCTCATCGTCTCGATCAGCACCGTTGCGTCCGCTGCAGAGTCCGCCAATGTTTCGACGTCATCTTCAGCTGCCGTAAACTCTTCTACACTCATCAGTTTCTCTTTCAATTCGGTTCTGAGATTTCGCTCGACATCGAGCTGTTGCACTACGATACTCTCAGCCTCTCTAAGAGCTTGCTCTTTTTCAGCAAGTTGCTCCGTGAGTATCTCACGTATTTCGTCGCGCTCACGTACAGCGTTCCTGAACTGATTTTCCGCGTTCGAAAGATTATCCCAGCTTGCTTCTAAGGCAGCGGCACGTTTCGCCAATTCTTGATTCAGACGGCTGATCTCGCTCATCGCGCGTTCCATCCGTTCGTCTTGAACATTTTCTGCCACTCTTAACCGCAACAACTCGTCCTTCAAAGATTGCTTTTCGACTTCTGAGGAATGGTATGCAGACATGGCGTCGTCAAGTTCGAGCTCTTTGTCACTGAGTTGCAGTTTCAGTGAATCGATCATAAGTTCGAGTTCTCGAGTGCTGTCGTTCGACACTGCTTTCTCAAGTTGCGAACGAAGTTGTTCAAGTCGCTCGTCACGCTCATCTAGAGAAATCTTCAAGGCATCTACATCGCCCAGAGCAATATTTGCTGCCTCTTGTTGTTCATCGAGAGCTCTTTCCAGCTTGCTGATTGCATCTTCGAGCTTCAACACTACTTGCTCATGCTCATCTTCTCGTAAAGCTAGCTCATCAGCTGCATAGACTGTCACACGTTCCAGTTCCCTCACCTCGGCGATAGCGTGCTCAAGCCAAGCAACGCCATCTGCACTCAGATCGGCACTACTACTTGCGAACTCATCGAGACCAGCAAGCACCGAAATATCCGTACGTGGCCAAATCAGTGGACTCATACTCACAGAGTTTTCATATTGCGTCAACGTCACCCGTGCTTCGTCCAACTGGCTTTGAATCTCTTCCAATTTTAGCTCTGCTTGCTGCTTCTCACGGACTGCCTCTTGCAGCTCTCGCTCAAGAGACGCTGAAATGTCCATTTTGCCATCTTCAACAATGAATGCATCCATTTTCGCCATGAGCGCGTCACGCTCAGACTCCAAAGCAGATTGCATCTCAGCCTGGTCGCTGAGCACGCGCTCAAGATCGGCGTCGCGGGCAGCGAGCTGCGCCTCAAGCGTAGCGCGCTGTGCATCAAAATCAGACAACGAAGCAACCTGAACCTCTTCCAGTTCATGAAGCTTGGACACAAGCGCATCCAACTCAGACTGGAGCGACGCGCGCTCAGATTCAAGCTCAGCGATGCGAGCAGAGCGAGACTCCCCGGAAGCCTGAGACTCGATCAACTCCGCGCGCACACGCTCCAACTCAGCAAGCTCGGCCCGAAGACCGTCGCGCTCAGACTCCAAAGCAGATTGCCTCTCAGCCTGGTCGCTGAGCACGCGCTCAAGATCGGCGTCGCGGGCAGCGAGCTGCGCCTCAAGCGTAGCGCGCTGTGCATCAAAATCAGACGACGAAGCAACCTGAACCTCTTCCAGTTCATGTAGCTTGGACACAAGCGCATCCAACTCAGACTGGAGCGACGCGCGCTCAGACTCAAGCTCAGCGATGCGAGCAGAGCGAGACTCCCCAGAAGCCTGAGACTCGATCAACTCCGCGCGCACACGCTCCAACTCAGCAAGCTCGGCCCGAAGACCGTCGCGCTCAGACTCCAAAGCAGATTGCCTCTCAGCCTGGTCGCTGAGCACGCGCTCAAGCTCGAATTCAATCGAGTCACGCTCGTTCTCAAGTGATGACAGATCCTGGCGCGCGCGCTTCAGCTCGACATCACGAGCGGCAAGCTGTTCCTCAATAGCACCACGCTGCGCATCAAAATCAGACGACGAAGCAACCTGAACCTCTTCCAGTTCATGAAGCTTGGACACAAGCGCATCCAACTCAGACTGGAGCGACGCGCGCTCAGACTCAAGCTCAGCGATGCGAGCAGAGCGAGACTCCCCGGAAGCCTGAGACTCGATCAACTCCGCGCGCACACGCTCCAACTCAGCAAGCTCGGCCCGAAGACCGTCGCGCTCAGACTCCAAAGCAGATTGCCTCTCAGCCTGGTCGCTGAGCACGCGCTCAAGATCGGCGTCGCGGGCAGCGAGCTGCGCCTCAAGCGTAGCGCGCTGTGCATCAAAATCAGACGACGAAGCAACCTGAACCTCTTCCAGTTCATGTAGCTTGGACACAAGCGCATCCAACTCAGACTGGAGCGACGCGCGCTCAGACTCAAGCTCAGCGATGCGAGCAGAGCGAGACTCTCCAGAAGCCTGAGACTCGATCAACTCCGCGCGCACACGCTCCAACTCAGCAAGCTCGGCCCGAAGACCGTCGCGCTCAGACTCAACATCTGCAAGATGCGAGCGAAGGCTTTTGACCTCCGATCCATCATGCACTGAACCATTGTCTATCAAATTAGATTCAGTGCCCCACTCCGAGTCCGCTAGGGCTGCAGCAAGCTCTGACTCGAGGCGCACGATATCACGCCTCATCGCATCAACAATAGAAGAAGACGCAGTTGTTCGCGAGTTTTGGTCGGTTGACGAGTCACATGAGATATCCATTGTCGTATCAGGAGATTCCTTCGATGACTGTGACACGACGCTTTCCTGCAGCGAAGAAATTCTTTTCTCGAGTGAATGGACAGTTTGTTCTGCCTCATCGCGCGCCATCGCGAGATTATGTACCTCGAGCGTAAGCGACTCAAGGTCCTTCATCAAGACGTTTTTATCACTCTGACTTGACAGCAATTTCTCTTCCATATCCGCGATTTTCATATTCGCAGAATGAAGTTCATGATCGCGGCTGTTGACATCTTGCTGCAGAGCTTCAACCGAATCTTGAAGATCGTTGACGAGCTGCTCAGTTGCTTTCAAACTGTTCAGATCCTCAGCTTGATCCGAAAGCAGATTTTTGAGTACGTCTGGAGCAGTCGTGCTGCCCGTTTCGTGGTGCAATTGCTGATCCAACTTGGATTCAAGCGCAACAATTTGACTATCCCGCTCGGCTATCCTGGATCTCAGATCGGTTTCAATCTCTTTCGCAGTCATTTCACGAGCCTTGAACTCGTCCTTGGTGCGATCCAACTCGTAACGGATTTCGTCAATTACTGCACTCGCAGCAGCCAGAGACTTTTCGGATTGTTCCTCACGTTCTTTCAGAGCTACCAGGGTTGATTGCAACTCAGCGCGAGTCAAGTCAAGTTCAGATCTTGACCTCTCGAGCGCCTCAACGATTTGATCAACGTCCTCAAACAAAGTAGGACCGAAAAAACCCTCGGAAAGTGCCTGCTCACGTTGTTTGATGATCGCCTTCAGTTCCTGTATCTTCTTTTTCAGAGAAGTAACCGAACCCTGACCGCTTGATGCCGACTGCAACTCTTCCTGGAGACGATGAACTTGCTGCATCGTCAAAGTATACACATCAGATAATTCCTCAAACTGAAGCTGCCTCGATTCAGCAGCAGACTGCAGCAGGAGTTTTTCACGCACGATATCATCAAGTGAAAGCTGTAATGCACCGCACTCAGACTCAACGGCCGAAAGTTTTGACTCAAGCTCGGCGATGCGAGCAGAGCGAGACTCCCCGGAAGCATGAGACTCGATCAACTCCGCGCGCACACGCTCCAGCTCGGCGTCGCGGGCAGCGAGCTGTTCCTCAAGAGCACCACGCTGCGCATCGAAATCAGACGACGAAGCAACCTGAGACGCCTCAACATCACTGAGCTTAGACGCAAGTGCATCCAAGTCAGACTGGAGCGACGCGCGCTCAGACTCAAGCTCGGCGATGCGAGCAGAGCGAGACTCCCCGGAAGCCTGAGACTCGATCAACTCCGCGCGCACACGCTCCAGCTCGGCGTCGCGGGCAGTGAGCTGTTCCTCAATTGCAGCGCGCTGTGCATCAGAATCAGACGACGAAGCAACCTGAGACGCTTCGACATCACTGAGCTTACACGCAAGTGCATCCAACTCAGACTGGAGCGACGCACGCTCAGACTCAAGCTCGGCGATGCGAGCAGAGCGAGACTCCCCGGAAGCCTGAGACTCGATCAACTCCGCGCGCACACGCTCCAGCTCGGCGTCGCGGGCAGCGAGCTGCGCCTCAAGAGCACCACGCTGCGCACCATCCTCACCGGAAGATGGAGCGGCAGCGAGCTCTGCACGAAGATCATCACACTGTGACTTGATAGCTCCAATGTCGATATCGCGCTGCCGAATTCTGCGATCAAGCTCTTCTCTGCTCTGTTCTACCTCTTGCAATTTGTCTGTCAACTCATCGATCTTAAAGCCGGCAGCTTCGGATTGGCTTTCGGCTAACTGTATTCCCTCTCGCAACGTATCCACAATCAGTTGATCACTAACTGCTTGAGCCTCTAGTCCAGATATTTTGCTGTTAGCCTCATCGAGCTGCTGTTTGAGCGCTTCGAGGCGCTCGCTGGCTTTTTCGAGCTCTTTCCCTTTCAAAAGAATGCGTTCATCGAACTCGTTCGCGATCTTCTCGCTCATCACCCGGTTGGCATCAAACAGCCGTGTCGCCTCAGCTTGGGAATTCTCAAATCGAGTCTGGAGATCGTTGAGGCGCAGCTCAAGTGCCGATTTGTCTTGCGCAGATATGTCTTTGAGTGAAAGCAATTCCGTCGATGTTACGTTGAGCTTCGCAAGCACATCATCGAGGTCATTCGCAGCAGCAGCAAGTGCGGCTTGCATTGTTGATTCGAGCTCAAACGCACGTCCCTCAGCCGCTCTGATAGCCTCCACCTTGTCAGCCACATCTAGTTCAAGTACGCCTATTTCGTCGCGTAGCTTATTAACAATGCCTTCATTTTCATCACGAACTCGATCGAGTTCGAGCTTCGCCTCCTCTGCATTTAGTGAGGACATCTTAAGCTCAGTCTCTAATCGCACTTTGATGCCTTGAAGTTTCGCAACTTCTCTTCGCACATCAAGATCATCTTGAGACATTGAAGAATTCTTGTCTTTCAGTAAATCTATCTCCATCCTGAGCGAATCAATTAGTTGCATTTGCTCGGAGCGCTCGCTTTCTGCAGCAGCCCTTAAATACTTCAACTCCTCTTTCAGGTCCGCGACTTGAGAGATGAGTTGATTGCGATCGGTACGCATTGTATCACCGTCGATCCGCATGGATGATATTTTTCTCTCTTTCTCGTCAATCTTTCGCTGCAACTTCTCAGATTTGGCTTTCATGGATTTGAAACCTTTCTCCAGTTTTTTTAACTGCAGTTTTTCCACGCTTTCGTTCAGCTCTCGGGTGCGCTGAGAAATCGAGCGCTCCAGCGTTGAAGCTGTATCGATAACTTTTGAGAAGTCGTACGCCCTGAGGTTCAACTTACCCATGGTCATTGAGCTTAGACGCATAAAGCTCTTCAACAGACCGGACGGTTCGTCACTTGAAATTGGCGATGGAAGGCTCTTGGTGTTGACCGGAGTTGATAGCGCAGAGGGAAGCAGCAATAATCGTGCACTGGCACCAGCGAGTTCAGAGCGAAGTCGCTCAACCTCGATCTCACGTTCCCTCGCCTCTGCTTCGAGTGTCGTACGCAATGCGGCGATGTCGGCGTCACGTGAGGCCTTCAGAGAAGAGTACTTCCTTTGAAGTTCAAGGCGTTCAGGTTTCGTCAACTGTGACATCGAAAACTGCTGCGCCATCGCCTCACTGAGTTCTGTGCGAAGCAGGTCGCGCTCAGATTCAGCAGCAGCAAGACGCGAGCGCAGATGCTCGACTTCCGGAAGCTCATCGGAAAGCACACGCTCCAGCTCGAATTCAATCAAGTCACGCTCGTCCTCAAGTGATGACAGATCCTGGCGCGCGCGCTCCAGCTCGGCGTCGCGGGCAGCGAGCTGCGCCTCAAGAGCACCACGCTGCGCATCAAAATCAGACAACGAAGCAACTTGTCGAGACATTGCATCACTGAGCTCTGTACGAAGCACGTCGCGCTCAGATTCAACAGTAGCAAGACGCGAACGCAGATGCTCGACTTCCGGAAGCTCATCGGAAAGCACGCGCTCGAGTTCGATTTCAATCGAGTCACGCTCGTTCTTAAGTGATGACAGATCCTGGCGCACGCGCTCGAGCTCAGCCTCAGAATCCGCGAGCTTGGACTCTAGCTCGGTTTGATTAGCAGCCAGTTCAATTCGTTCTTGGAGCACTCGTTGTTTTGCCTCGAGCTCTTCTTCCACCTGAGCGAGCTTTGCTTTTGAGTCTGCGAGCGCCCGCGACGCAGATTCTTCACATCTCTTCAACGCTTTTATCTCTGACTGGCGCTCCTCAACTTGTTTACGATAGTCCAAACCCTGTCGCGTTTTGTCGGACATTTCTGTGGCTAATTGTTCCATTTCTTTTCGAATACTGTCCATCTCATTGTTCAGAGCGTCTATCTCGGCTTGTGCTTCACGCTTCAACTCAACCCGCTGAGCCTCAAGCTGTTCTTGCGCCTCCGCTAGCTGTTTTCTAAGGAGTAACTCTACATCACTCATCTCCGCTGCTCTCTGCTCTCTGAGCATATTTAGTTCGACGTTCAGGCTGTCAACTTCACGTTTCAAATCTTCAACCAAGCTATCAGCAGCGTCATGTGATAATGCCGCTTCCAACTCCGCCACTTTGATTTGCAATTCCGCTTCTAAATCGGATCGCCGACCATTAATTTGTTCTATACTGGCGTTTGCATCTGATAACTGTGCGCTAAGTGATTGCAGCTTTGCTTGAAGCGTTCTTGTTTCATGCTCAAGACGCTGAATTATCTGCGCATCACTCTCGCTCTTTTCTTCTGCGCTTTGTAACTCCGCTAATAGGTCCATTTTAGCCTTGAGGGCCTCGTCAACAGTCCTCGTGGCCGTTTGCAACTCCTTGACAGATGCCTCTAATTCAATCTCTAGTTTGACGCGTTCCTTCCGCCAGTCCTCCAGCGCGATACGCTCCCGCTCGCGCACTGTGTCAAGCTCGGACGTTATGCTTAAAAGGCGAGCTTCTAGCTCTTCACGTTTGCAACCACTGTTGATTTCTTGCTCTTGCAGCTGGGACAACTTGCGTTCAAGAGTTTCTATGTTTGCACGAAGATCCGCTATGACAGCCGATGATCGTTTTTTGCCGGTGTCAAGAGAATCTTGGAGCTCGACGATTGTGAAGATCTGAGAGCTAACCAGTCTCAGACCCCAAACTGCTCTCTGATCAATGAGATCCTTGATCTGTGGGTCATCTTTCACGGAAGCGCTTTTGAGCTTGTCAATGGCATAATCTAAGCGAGAAACTGCCGCGGCCGCGCGTATGGACTCCATCCATATTTCCAAATCGGATTCGTATGAAGTTTGAGCGCTTTGAAATCGCTCGCGAGTTGATGACGCTCTTCTTAGCTCCGCACGTATCGCACTTACATCCGCCTCGACTTGTGCAATGGACACTGGGTTGGCGTTCTGGTTTTTGAGCTCAGCGAGCCGTGCCTGGCGGCGTTCAAGTACTCTCTCAAGCTCTGCCTCGATAGAAACGCCGATGTTCAAAGCGATATCAATTTCGCTTGAGACGATCTGGCTCATATCGATATTCCGATCCGTCGCCGTGCGTCGGCGACGATACTGGCGCTTGCGAACTCTTCGTCTGCACTGTTTTGACGACGGCTCGTCGACAGATTTCGTTGACGCCGAGGAAGACGCTATCATTGATGCGGACAGCTCTCGCACAACCGTGAACGGTGGTGCGTAAACGATACGTCTAGGAACGGACCATTCCGCTAGGTCGTCGTCGGTCTCATGCGTGTTGTCGTGCGTGTCTGACATGGCATCTTCAATGACGGGCAACGAGGTGGGCTCGTCAGTGATATCTTCAGCGTCAACTTCTTGCTGCACTTCAGCCTGAGGCTCTGTGAAGATTGGCATGATACGGGCCGATCGCAACAGCTCAATAGAGGATTCCGGCCTTTCGGCTGCACGCGGAACATTCGCACTAGAGAGAACATCGACATCCGTGACAAAACTGGGCATACTCCTCGTAATTCGCTCCGAAACTTTCTGCGTTTTTGTCATGATGGTGCGGATTATCCAGTGGTCCACGGTGTATAACACGTGCATCGCTCTAAGCCAACGAAGCGCAGCCGAGAAAACAAAAGCGATCAACGAACTCCATGCGCACGTATCTACAAAAGTGAGAGTAGGGATGAGCTCACTGAAAGCGTAGGCCCAACACACGATGCCCGCGACGGAACACCACGTTCCATGAAGGGTAGAGTCCGCCAAAAGCCTCATCGGTGATCGTCTCGTCGTCACACTGTGCAAGCGTAAGTCCATGGCGTACACGCCGAAAAGAGACGAGAGTGTGGAGACGATAACTATGAAAACGACGTCAGCAAGCGAACGAGGAACAACCCGCAGCGCCATCGCGTTACCAAAAATCACCACACAAGACCCGACCGTCGCAGCGGTGATCGTTCGCGTCATCGCATCGAATAGCGAGCGATTCCACCTCGCGACGTACATGCCGTAGTAAGTTGCAGAGATGGTGCTGAAAGCCAATAGCGATTGCAACGTTGGCGCAACGTCGCCCGCGAAGGATGTCACGGTCCACACCACGACATCGGCGACGACGATCAGCGCTGCCGATCTTATCAAGTGTCTGAGCACCACCACTATGGCTGCGTTCATTTCTTCCTCTTTCGTCACGAGCGCGAAGCGGTACCGCGCCTCCCGTCGCTCGTCATCGGATTCAGCCGACGGTTCTCGCCCAGAGACGAGCGCCGACGTCGAAGCGGCGACGTCTCCTCTCCGTGTCGTCTTCCCCGCCACCGTCGCTCGCGATCGCCCCACGGTGTCTCGTACCTCTGACACCCGTCTCGCTCGCGCTCGTAGCGTCGTACGCGTCCGCCGCTCTTCCCCATCGCCGCTCTCCGCTCCGCGCCGTCGTAGTAATCGCGCTCGCTGGCTTCCCAACCGCGCGCTCGCGGCGCTCCCGATCACCGTCGCGATCGTCATCTCACGCCCAACGCGTCCAATACGCGCGCACGCGCGCGCGCTTTTCTTTCAACCTCTCGCCTCGCGCGTGGCCACGCGTTCGTCGCCGCGATTCGATCGACCGCGCGCTCGATGCGTTCGATTGGAAAGATGTGATTACGCCACCGGCGCGTCGCCGCGCGCTCGTTCGCGCGCTCGAGCTCGCTCCGACGCGATCCCGTCGTCCGCGACGCGTCCGTCGCGCGTCCGTCCGTCCGTCGACGCCTCGACGCGCTCTCGCGCGCGCGCGGACGTCCGATCGCGCCGACGCCCGCGTCCTCTCGCGCGCGTCCAGAGTGGTGGTGCGCCGACGACACACGCGGGTGTTACATCGCGTCGACGTCACCGATGTGTCCGTCGAGACCGTATGGGTTTTGGTTATGACGACGTCCACGCGCGACGTCTCGCCCCGTCGACCGCGTCGCGCGCGTCGTCCGCAGCGGTCGATGCGCCCGCGCGAGGTCTGTTCGCGGGCGCGTCGACGCGCGTCGGAAATCGCGGCGTCGACGTCCGCCGTCGAGACCGCGCGGCTCGGGGCACGCGCGCGGCGACGGGGAATCTCGCGCGCGACGGCGCATCGACGGTGGCGCGCGTCGGTGGACGTCGACGCCGGGGTGATGGCGCGCGAGGGGACGGGGCGCGGGAGGTTCACCGAACACGTCGTCGCCGGGTACGAGATCGAGGGAATCTCGGTGGGGGGACAGCAGACGTCCGTCATCGTGCCCAGACTGTCGCTGTGCTTTGACAGCGGGCGATGTCCGCAGCGGAGCGTGTACGCGGATCACATGTGCGTCTCGCACACGCACATGGATCACATCGGAGGGTGCGGCATGTACGTTGCGACGAGAGGTTTGTTAAAACTGTCGCCGCCGAAGATTTTGTTACCGAAAAGACGCGTCGACGCGTTCGCGACGTTCATGGACGCCATGCGGGCGCTGGACGACAGCGAACTGAGACACGAGGCGATCGGGATCGAGCCGGGTGAGAGATTCGCGATGAGTAAGTTATTTGAGATTGCGCCGTTCAAGACGACGCATCCGGTGCCGAGCCAAGGGTACATAGTGTACGGCACCAAGCAAAAGTTGAAGTCGGAGTACGCCGGTTTGGACGGCGGCGATATTAAAAAGCTTCGAGAAAACGGGGTCATCGTCACCGATAAGGTCGAGGTACCTGAGGTGGCTTTTACGGGGGATACCACTGCTGCTTGGATCGATGACCCGGCGAACGTGGACGCGCTTCGAGCGAAACTTTTAATCATGGAATGCACGTTTGTGGACGATTCCGTGAGCAAGGAGGACGCGGAGGAATATGGGCACACGCACATCGACGATTTGATCTCGCGCGCGGACAAGTTTGAAAACGAAGGCATTTTGTTGATTCATTTCAGCGCGAGGTACAAGGCGGAAGAGGTTCGACGGGCGCTCGAGGCGAGACTACCAAAAAAACTCTTCGATAAAACCACGCCGATGCTCGTCGGGTACGACTGAAGTTAGTAGAATCCTAGGCAATGTATTGTTTCAAATTCCAACGCTAGCGCTTACTTCTTCGACGGTTTGCTCGAGCTCTTGCGTTTCGCATCTTTTACCTTGGATTTTTTGGCATCCGTCGCATCCTTGACGTGAAAGAAACCCTCCGCCCACGCGTCGGCGTCTCCTCCATCGACCAGCTTACCGACGGCGGCGTGAATCGCCTTGCGTGTTTTCGAGTCGGTATCCGCGCGAACGATCGCGGCGATAACTTTACTTCCGTGTCCATCTATCCACGTCTTGAGACTGCCCTTGAGCGCTGTGTTCCAGAACTGGGGCACGAACGCCGGGTGCTTGATTTCCAACGCCATTCGACGAAGCGTTCTGGTGGAGAAAAAATTCGTGTGCAACGACTCAAGAGCCTCGCCCGTCTCATCATCAATCTCTTTAGATGACATCGATAGCGCCACCGCGCTAGAGATGGCTTTATAGAGCGCGGTCATCTTCTCGTCACCCATCGCTTCGTGGAAAACGCCGTCACAACCCCCTGCTGCGACCTCAAATAACACGTCTGAAGCGAGGTTATTCCGTAACATCGCGGCCGCATTGGCGTTACACGCCGCGATGAGAGCATCGCCTAAACCTTGATGGAAGATTTCCGCTCGGCGCGTGCTGGCAGGCTTCTTAGCGATGCCGAATTCCGGACCATCCGCCGGAGCTTCTTCCAAATCTCCATCGTCCTCATCTTCGTTATCCTCATCCTCATCCATCTCATCCTCTCCCAGCTCGTCGTCAATGATTCCTATGTCGTCATCGTCTGAGTCGTCCTTCCCAACCGCCTTCTTTGCCGCCTTTTCAGCATCACCGCCTTTTTTCATTACTGCGAGCGTCTCCTCCGCGTCTGCGCGAATTTGTTCGGGATCTGGAAGACACTCAAGCAAGTGCGGCGGGAAGTATCTCGTGGATCGAGGGTTTAAAATGTGTAACAGCACTCGACGTGCATTTTTGTGCGATGCGACTTCTTCGATGCCTTCCTGTTTGAGCTCGCTCACGACGCCCTTTGTGAGCAGCTGTGTGTCGTCCACACAGTCAAAGAGGTGCGCGATGACGAGGTGCGCAAAGTCATCCTGTGCAACTCTCCAAATCTGACCCTTCAGCGCTTTGACGACGCCCTTGCGTTGCTTCGCTCCAGAGTGCGCGAGCATCATGTTCACCGCGTGCGAGCCCTCCTTTGTGTGCATCATACGGAGTAAACCAGCGGCGGCGATGGATCCCGCCGCCTCTGCCTTCGTGCTCGGGCCGCCCACGCTCAGGTACTCCGATAAAACGCGATGAATTACGGAGGAAGACACTAAACCTTTTTCTAATACCGGTATCATCGACGTGTTCACGTGACGAAGCGTGCTCTGGCGCTGTGCGACGGGCTTGGTGAGCAAGGCTTCACGAAGGGAACCGACCTCGGCGACGCCAAAGTGGACGAACTCTGGACCATAGAACTCAAACGTCATCGATTTCTTGTCCTTGCCCGAAGCGACGTGGTAGAGCGCTTCGACGATCTGAGACCCGACGGGATGACGAGCCAGTCTCGGAATCTGTCCCTTGAGATTGGCGAGAAGCTTGGGCACGTCCTTTTTGTCAGTAGAATCGATGAGCTTGCGAACCAAAAAGTTACCGTACAGAGACTTCGAGAGAAGGGAGATTTCCGGCGTCACCTCTGCCATGACCGACTCGCATTGCTCCGGAGTGCCGTACTTGAGCACTGCCTGCACCACACGCGAGCCTTTGTGATTGTTTGCCAGCTCTGGCACCTTGCCCTTGGACTTCTTGAAAATTTCGTCACACAGCGTGCTTCGATCCGTCTTTGAAACCTTCTTCCCCCGCATGCGCTCCCAGATCTGGGCCAACTCTTGTACTAACGCGAAGTTAGGCTTTCTCAGCGCCTTAATTTCGTCCGCCTTCGCCTTTTGCTCCTTGCGAGAGAGCGGCTTACCGTCGTTGCTGGACTTTGCCTTTTTGCTCTTTGCCTCCACGCTCTCACCAGAGCTCGGACGCTTCTCGCCTCTGTCGCGCCCCTTCGAGTCGCCCTTCGTGAAGGATTTCGATCCACCGCTCAGTTTTCTGCCCTCACTCTTCCCATCGAACGTCTTTGACTTTCGAGCCTTCGAGTCGGACGTCTTCGTCGCCGAGTCGTCGCCGCCGCCGCCGCCACTCGAGTCGGGATTGAATTTACTCTTTCGCTTCTGCGCCCTTCTCGTCTTGGCGCCGGACCCAGCCTTGGCGTCTGCACGTGTCATCGTCGAATGCGTTCTCTCACCTTCTCTCGAGCGACCGACACGCGCGAAGACACGACGACGAGTTGTGCAGTCGAGCGCGCGTGCCGAACTAAACGCATCGAGACGTGAGCGCCCGACCGGAAAGAAGAGTCGTCTTCGGAGTCGATGAATGCGCTTATTTTACATACCTAGCCATCAAGGCGCGTCGATGGACGCGCGTCGAGGCGCGCGATTCGGGGTGAGATGGAGCGAGGTTGACTCAGTCAAAAATTTTACACTCGTCGTCATCCGGAGCGGCTTCGCAGAACTCCACGACAGAGGGCGATGGGTTCATCTCGGAGTTAATCCCGGGATCGCTCACGTCGAGCTTTTGTACCTCTCGTGCGAACTCGTCCCTATCCGTGGTTTGTTGCGCCAACAGGAACGCTTGGAACGTTCTTCGCATGATGTCGCCGCGGGACAAAATACCGAGGAGGGCGCCTCGCTCGTCCACAACCGGAAGCCTCGCCAAATTCTTATCGAGCATCAACTCCGTCGCTTCGACGAGCGGTGTATCCGGTGTGCACGTCGCCGGCGTCTCGTGCATGGCTGTCAGCACCTTCGTCCCGCTTGCCTTGTACATGCGCTCTTGCAGGTTGTGAAACTGGTTCCACATTTGCTTGACGTTGCCGTTGAACTCATCACACCGACCGACGCGCGGAAACATCCCATCGTCCTTCACGCTTCTAGTCGTTTCCTTCTTCCCCACTCTGGCCATGAGATCGTACTCGCTCACCACTCCTAGCACGACTCCTTTCTCGTCCACCACGGGCACGGCGGAGATGCGGTTCTCCACCAAGAGCTTCATCGCCTCGAACACGCTCGCGTTCGGTCCCACCGAGAGCACCCTGGACGTCATCACGCTTCGTACGACGTCGCGGTTGACGATGTTCTCGATCTCATCCCAGGTCAGCGTCTCCTGATCGTTCGAGGACGCGCGCGTGCGGAGAGCGACGCGGTGACGATGTCGATGCGATCGGTTTCTTTGCGGCGACGAAGACGTCGAACGGGAGCGACGACCGAACGCGGCGTTCGATCGCGTCGCCGGCGATTGCGGGCGCGACGTGGAGCACGTCATGTCGATCGAGAGCTCGACCGCGCGCTCGGCTGTGGTAGTGACGACGTCTCTCGGCCTCACGTTTTTCACTCAAGAGACGGTGATGGGTTCGTGAACGGTCAATCAGTCTCTGGTGACTATCGGTGGGATGGTTTGAGAAATGGACGGACGCGCGGACGGATTATTGCTTGGACTCAAGATTACACGGTGCCCGAGGACACGCCGTTCCTCGCCGGGGGCTCGAGGAAGGAGAAAAACCCCTTGTTACTTTCGGCGTCTTCGACGAACAAGTCGTCCGGCACTCTCGCGGCGGCGTGCGCGCCGATGCCGAGCAGGGCGACTCCCATGCCGCTAAACAAAACCGTACCGGCGCTCGTGAGCATGAAGATCACGAACGCGCTCAAAGCCGTCATCCCCATCAACTGCTCGCGATGACTGAGCTCTCTATCACCTATCTTTAACGGTTCCGATCGAACGGCGAACACGTACGCCCACGCCGCTGCGACGCCACCGAAAACCGCGAGCGAGCTCGGGTGGAACAAGACAAATAGCGACAGCACCGCGCAAGTGAACACCAGGTAGTTGATCCGGAAGTAGTTCAGGTTCTTTTGCATCCTCGACGTGGCATCACCAAAGTTCGCCGGTCTGGAGTACGCGCTCGCGTCTAAGACCTCGCTCATCGGTCTCTGCTGACCCCACACGTGTACCGCGCTGTCCTTGACGCGATGCACCGCGGAGAACACGCCGCCCGTCGCCACGTCGCTTGACGTCCCGCTCATCTGCGTCGACGAAACGCACGCGCGCGCGAGTCGTTAGTCGATGTTTTCGAGTCGAGCGCGCGACGCCTCCCGACGTCGTTCGAGACGTGACGCTCCGGAAACGTCGTTTCGCCGTCGGGGGAAAGATCTCCGCCGCGGGCGAACGCGTTCGAGGTCTCGCACGCCGCCGCCGAGGTCTCGCGCCCCCGTCGCCTCGGACGCCGCGCACGAACGCGTGGACGTTCGACGCCCTCGCTCACCGAGCGCACCTCGCGTCGATCGAGCGCACGAACGCGCGCGCGGATGTGCGGCGAGCGAGACGAACGTTGCGGCTTTTATCCACCCGTCCGATTTTCGTACGTAGAAATCAGTGTTTTCGTTATTTTCCGTGGCAACGACCTCGACGCTCGAGCGCGGCGTCGACGGACGACCCGCGACTCGGCGAGGGGTTCACGGCGACGTGTGCGGAGCTCCGCGCGCGCCCTTTGGTCGGCCGCGCCCGTGGGCGAGCGCGGACGCCGCTCGGGTGATCACGCGCGCCCGGGCCGAGTCGATGGATTCGAGCGAGCTCGACCGCGTCGTTCGCGATGCGTTCGCTCGCTCGTCGACGCGCGCGGACGGGGAGACGTTGACCTCGAACGCGACGACGACGTTGAACGCGATTCGTGGGGACGATTCGTGTTGGAAACTGTGCCTGGACGCGTACGTCAAGTCACGAGTGGCGGAGACAAAGTTTTGGTGCTTGCAGACGCTCGCGGAGACGCTGCGCGAGCTCGTCGCGCGCGGAGCGACGATGACGGTAGAAGACGCTGAGACGCTGAGACGAGGGATCGGGACGTGCGTGGGTGAGGCGAGCGATGTGGGGACGAACTCACCCGCGTTCGTGAAGAATAAACTCGCGCAGGCGTGCGCGCTGAGCGTGGCGCTGGAGTACCCCGAGCGATGGCCGACATTTTTTACCGACGTCGCCAATCTGTTGACGAGAGGCGCGAGCGGGGTGGACATGTTCACCAGAGTGCTGGAAGCGCTGGATGAGGAAGTGATAGCGACAATAGAAGCGGGGAGGAGCGGGCGAGAGGATCAAGCGAGATCGATGCGAGTGAAGGACGCGATGCGAGCCGACGGAAGCATTCAGTTGGTGTTCGACGCATGGCGACAGTGCTTACAACATTTCACGCGCGCCGAACCCAAAGTAGCCACCAAGGTGTGGTCCGTCGCTCGGAGATACGTCGAGTGGGTCGATGTGAGCGTCGTCGCGAGTGAGGATTACGTGCGGTGCGCCAAAGAGTGCCTGATGCTCGCAGATGGCGGCGATGTGGACGAGGACGCGTGCGCTGCGGCGACATCGTACTTGCATGCGGTCGTTACGAAAGGGATGGATATCGCTACTAAAGTGCAATTGATCGCTAACACGGGCCTGGTTGATGTATATGGAGCATTGCAATCGCTTTGCATCGCGAGAGGGGACGATTTGGACGAGGAGTTTGTCACGCAGGTTACGAATCTTGGTTCCGCCATCGGCACGGAGCTCCTGAGTGCACACAGGATGGAAAATGTAACCGCGCTAGGACCCGAGTTGCCCGCGCGTGTGAGCGCTATGTTGCACCAAGTGACTCCTTTGGTTTTATCTAGCATCGGTTTCAGACACGAGCGAGCAGTTCTGGTGGCTTTGCCGTTCCTGTACGCTTACGTCAGTCATGTGAAGTCCCAACCAGCTTTACTAAGCACGGCACAGCCCGCGCTCGAGGTAGCGTGCCAGGCGCTCATAGCGCGTGGTTCATTTCCCGTAGAAAACACGGATGGTTTGGATTGGGACGATGGCGCGAGCGCGCTCACGCAAGAGTTTGAGGGCGAAGTTCTCAGCTTGCGCACCGAGCTCAACGTGCAGTTCAAAAATATCGCTCGTCTCGCACCGCAGTTGGCTCGAGAGGTGGTGCGGCAAGTTCTAACGAATGCTATTGTTGCGGGTGATCTGAATTCGCGTCGTTGGGAAAATATTGAGGTCGCGGTATCGGCGCTTTATACCCTTGGCGAGGGCGCCGACGATCCCGCAGTGAAGCCGATGTCGACGGAGGAACGATCCAAGGCGACGAACGGTACTGGTGAGGTTACAGAAACTCCGCTCGGTGCGCTCGCGGTATCACTCATTCGCTGTTGGGATGCAAATGCGGGCAAGGCTGCTCATCACCGCTTGGTGGCGCCGATTTTTCTGGAGACGTGCGTTCGATACCATGCGATTTTAGAGCATGACGATGCGTCGTTGTTGGTGGCTCTCACCGCGTTTTTAGACGCGCGCGGCATAGCGCATCGAGATCGAGCTGTCCGGTCGCGAGCGTGTTACTTACTCGCACGCCTCTCTCGACCTCTTCGATGCAAACTTTCCGACCGTGTGGAGGACATTATGCGCGCAATCCACCCTCACTTGATAGACATCGCGCGTTCATTGCCAGAGCAGAACGCAGTTAACACCACGGTTGTTTCAGTGAGCGCTTCGGGCATTCAAAGCAGAGCCATGGCGGAAAGTGGTAATGACGACACCCTATACCTGTTCGAGGCGGTGGGTGTGCTGTTAGGGGCGGATGAGGTGGACGAGCAGGAGCAGTACAGGCATTTGTCCCAAATTGCCTCTGCTTTGTGCCATCAAATCGAAGAGGTCGTGGATGGGCGGTCGGGCGCCGATGACCTAACTCGCGTCGCTCTCGCGACTAGGGCAATCATAGCTTTCGGGAACGTCTCCAAGGGTTTTGCTCAGCGTACGTGCCTGACTGCGAGGCCGCAAACTGGCGAGGTGTTCAGGTCGTGCTTGGCCACATCGCTCCGATGTTTGGACATTTGGCCTCGCAATGCGAGCGTAAGGAGTAGAGTGACGGGATTACTGCATAGAATGATCGAATTGCTCGGTACAACAGTCACGCAGTACCTTGCATCGACGGTTGACAGATTGCGTCGAGACGCCGACGCGCTTGAACTGCGAGAGACTCTGGTGCTGTTCAATCAGCTTTTGGCAACTTACAAGGCGGAACTCGCCCCGTTCGTCGTTCAGGTACTGCCAAACGTTGCGGACCAAGTATTTAGGACGATAACAACGGCACTCGCGCAAGCCTCAGAGCAGGCCATGGGTGGGAACGTCGCAAAGAACACGGAAACCATACGCGAGTCGGAGGAGCTCGAACGAACGTGGCTGACAACAGCCGCCGCTCTCGGTGCAAACGGACTCTTGACGCCGACTTTTACGGGTCATCCGAACGCCGAGATCACATCTGCACTAAGGGAGCAGTTGATAACGCACCTTCTACGTACGGCCTCTTCTCACGGCTCCGTGAGTGCGCGGAAAGTTGCGCTACAAGCGCTGAAGAGTTTCATCGAGGAATGGCTCGGAGACGATCGTCCGAACGAACCTACGGGAGCGCCGGAGGGAGCGAGCAAGACTTTTACGATAAAGTATGGGCCCAGAGATGACCTTCTCCCTGGATTTGCATCGTTTGTTTTCGATCGAGTGTGCGTCGAGTGCTGCGTCGTCCCCGCGCTTCGTGGCGACTTGGACCTCGCGGACGCCGCGTCCGTCGCCGTGCTCAACGAATCGTTCGCCATCTTGGCCATAGCTCGCGTTCGAAAGCCCCAAGCGCTTTCGAGCACTCTACACCGCGCGTTCGCCGACGTGCTCGCCGATCAGGCGAACGCCGTCGCCGGCGAGTACCTCGCCGCGGTCGACGCCTACGCCGGCGGTAAGCCGCACACGCGCTCGAGCAAATCCCTTCGAGCCCTCGTCGCGGCGACCACGGAGGCGATTCGTCGGCGAGGTCGCGTCTTAGGTTCCCCTCACATCGCCAGGCGCGGTTCGTGATCTCGATCGATCGACGCCATCTCGTCTCGTTTCTTGTAACGTGTTCCACCGCGCTCGGTTCCCGGAGACGTTCCCGGAGAATGTGTGAAAAATCGGGTGTCTCGCGCACCACGACACGCGTCGCGTCGCGGAACGTCGCGACGGTCACATCGCGTCGACGACGTCTCCACCGCGCGTCGCTCGGCGATGACGGACGAAGGCGGCGTTCCTCCGTCGTCGGGCGTCGCGCGCGCGCGCGAACGCGCGTCGGGCGTCGCGCGAGAGGAGAATATCGACGGGCGAACTCGCGCTCGAACGCGTGGGAAGATTCGTACGCGCGACGACGACGAAGAAGACGACGACGACGACGACGGCGACGACGGGCGACGACGACAACGACGAGCGCGCGCGCAGACGTCGAGCGCGTTCGGGATGTTCGCGCGGTTACCGACGGAGTTGACGTTGAGAGTCTTATCGCTCCTGGACGGGTGCGCGTTGGCGGCGTGCGCGTGCGCGTGCAAAGATTTCGACGTCGTGATCAAGGCGAACGAGGAGAGGTTGTGGAAGAACGCCTTGATCGATCTGGAGGGTGCGTCGAGGGTGAGAGAGGATTTAGTGCTTGAACGAGGGAAGTTTGCGTCGTTCACGTGGAGGGAGCTATACGGCTGGCGCGTGCACACGCTGCGGACGAGCGCGAGGATGAGCGCGAGAGAGCTGACGGCGAAGATGTCCAAGATGTCCGAGGGCAACACGGACGATGCGCCGCCATCAAAGGTGCCGAACTGGTCGAAATACGACGACAGGATTGGTGGAAACGCTATGATAGCTTCACGGTTCTCTCGGCAGGGACGACTGGCGGTGATTGATCAAAACCGCCTGTTCACATGCGATCCCATATCCAGGGGAGGGATCATCAGTCAGATTCATGAGATTACGACCAATGCGCTCATCGCGCGAACGTTGGTATGGGCGCCGCGTTCGGAGCTCCTGGCATGCGCTTTCAAGGTGGACGCAACGGACGTGAGTTTGTGTTACAGCAAGATTGTGTTAGTGGCGCCAAAAATCGCTGGGATCCGTCGAGGAATACACCGAACGTACACGAACAACGCTGAATTGAGCACGCACAAGAAGATGCGGGTGTCTGCGTCGTATGAGGGTCCGCCGATTAAAAATATTCTTGCGCTCCCGCGCGGCGTGCGCTGCCGTTTCATGAATTTCACACCGTGCGGGACATTCATCAACTTTGTTCACGAGGACCGCATGGAGTCTGCTATGTACGCCTTAGATTGCGCAACTACGATTACGTCACTTTACGGCCCGAGCAACGGCATCGATGGCCAGTCGCCCGTTCCACCGCCCTCGGAAAAAGTCGTCAAAATTGTCACTGGCTCTAGCGATGTGAAATTTTCCTTCTCGCCGAACGACAGGAACGTCGCTTTGATGTTGAGCGCGGGGGAATCGCGACTCATCAGTTCAAACAGCACAGTTCCAGCGGTTTCACTTCCGAAGGCGTTCGACTGGCCTAAAATTGACGAGTCAGACAACGACGACGCGAGTGACAACGATCTTGAGTTTGAGGATGATGACGTCGATGACGATTTCGAGTCTGAACAGATCGAACCAGATGCGGGAGGTCTCGCCAACGACACGCGAGGTGTGGACGGCGACACCGAACCTGGTGGGATCCCTATTGAAAACGCTTTCGAGGAGGATAAGACCGAGAGTTTCGGGAAGGAATTGGGTGAAGTGGTTTCTTCGGAGCGGCTTACTGGTTTTCAGCAGTGGCGACGCAACTTTATCGCCGGAGCTAAAACAGGCGCAATATACTTCGCATCATTATTCACACCGGAGACTGTGGGTATGTCTCACGAAGACACGGCAAATCTGCAGTCGAGCAGCCAAAACACGGTGACAACTGCGATAACAAGCTCAAACAGTGGCGCGTCGTGCAGAAGAGCGAGCTCTTGGTGGACAAATATCCCACACTTTCGAAGATTAACGGATACAGTCGTAGAATCGTGTTCTGTTCAGCCGCTCGCGAGATCATTCTGTGACGCGGAGATGGGGCGGTTGCAGTGGGTACCACCAAAGAGTGGGGATCGAGACGGCAGGGGATTCTGGATCGTGCCGACGTCTATCAACAATGATGATATCGAGGCCACGGATGAAACTCATCTAGTCATCGCACCAGCTCCGTCTCAGAAAGCGATCGAGAGGAATCGAATCATGCCGTTCATCGGTTCTGACGAGGACGATGTTGTCGCGAACATTGAACAGTGCATTCTCACGCAAGTACCGAGAGTTCCTGGGCGCCAAGAGGCAACTGTTGTCGCACCGTTTTGTGTCGACGGTCAGCCTGGTGGTCGACACATCGTATGGTCAAACACCGATGGCGTCTTCGTTCGAAGTGTACGTTTCGATTTGGACTCGAACGGCGACTGGACAGGTCCGCCGGTGCTCGGGCCCACGATGACGGTTCTTGATACCGCATCTATTCCAACTGGATCAAATAAGTGGAACAAGGCTTATGACGAGGTGAGCGTGCGCAATTACGCTTCCTGGAACGGCGGCGCGAGTGGTATTCCTGCGCTTTCTGTGATGAATCAAGTTGTCAAACATACGGTCGAACTACTTCAATGGAGTCCGAGTGGAGAGCGCCTGTTGATCCTTGTCGCGGTGCATCTTGCGTACAACGGTCCATGGACCCATAGCGCACCGAACCGCAGATTCTACACTGTACATCAGTGGGTGTGCTGGGATCCACCGAGAGACGTACGAGGTAGTGACCATCCTTCGGTCGGTACATACGGCACTCTTTCGTTTGGCTCTCGTTTCGTTGCCGCTCAGTCATTTGAGAAAGTGTGCCGAGAGAAAGCGGAGAATACGTTCTGTGAGCGGCTCCAGCTCTGGGGCGTCGACGAGAGAGCGGTGGCCTTCTCGGTCCAGATGCCCAGAGCTGTGACCTCGGGAGAATCCTGCAGCTACATCGTCATCCAGCAATTCGATCCCGTCAACTACGAGGAGACGAGGCTCAAGAGTGAGACGGGCGAACTCCCACCGCTCCAACAGACGGGCGCGTCAACGCATCAACTTCCGTATTACCTCAGGTACATTGAGGATCCCCTCGAGTACGTGTGTGAAGGAACGCACTGCTCGTGGAGTCCGACTTAAAGCGACGCAATTAGCCATAGCGCGTTCGCTTCTATTCAAATATATTTACATTCGTTGTCCATAGCGTGTTCGCTTCTATTCAAATACGTTACTTGTAGTATATTTACATTCGTTTTTCACGTCACACACGTTGTTTGACATAGCGCTCGTTTTCAGTTCCCTCGAGTCGGTGTCGGATTACACACATCAACACAGCGTGACTCCCATCTCTCGTTCGATGTCGGCCGCGAAGGAATTTGAGCTTCCGTCGATGCCGACTCTATGCGTCGACGAGCACTGCGCCTTCGTCGCTCGCGCCTCTGAATCCGCGGATACGCTCGAGCACGCGCTCACCGAACATCTTCGTTTGAGTGGAATTTACTGGGGCGTGTGCGCCGTGTACACCCTGGGAAGGCTCGACCGGACGTTCGACCGAGCAAAGAAAGAAGAGATCTTATCGTACGTCGATTCTTGTCGGAACGAAAACGGCTCGTACGGCGGTGGCGTCGGACACGACGGACACGTGCTGTACACGCTGAGCGCGGTGCAAATTTACGCCCTGTTCGACGAGCTCAGTCGCATCGACGTCGAGGCGGTGGTGGGTTTCCTATCGTCGATGCAGTTATCGAACGGTTCATTTCAAGGAGATCACTGGGGTGAGATCGATACTCGTTTCACGTACTGTGCCCTGAGCGCGTTGCGGTTACTCGGAAGACTCGACGCCGTCGACGTGGACAAGGCGTGCGCGTACATCAACTCATGCAAGAATTTTGACGGTGGCTTCGGGGCGGAGCCCGGCGGGGAGTCGCACGCGGGACAGGTGTTCACGTGCGTCGGTGCGCTCGCGATCGGGGGCAGGTTAGATTACGTCGACGGTGATTTACTCGGTTGGTGGCTTGCGGAGAGGCAAGTCAAGGTTGGTGGGTTGAATGGTCGCCCAGAGAAATTACCGGACGTCTGCTACTCATGGTGGGTGCTCAGCTCGCTCAGCGTTCTGGGTAAAACGCACTGGATCGATCGCGCGGCGTTGGCGCGGTTCATACTGAAATGTCAAGACGAGAAATCTGGTGGAATTTCTGACCGTCCGGACGATGAGCCAGATGTCTACCACACGTTTTTCGGCATAGCCGGGTTGGCGCTCATGGGTCACCCCGCGGTGGTGGAGCCCATCGATCCCGTTTTCGCGCTGCCGAAATCGGTGCTTCGTCGCATGGGGATCGAGCTGTCGGGAACTGGAAAGGGCTAGGACTAGACTGAAATCAAAAATGTTCTCAAGGCGATGCCCAGTCTGGCTGTGGACACTCAAACTCCCACCCTTCGCCACTATATCGCACACAGTGTAACCATATGGCTTCGAGATCGATCGCTAAGTCACCGGCGTGAACGACTCTAGGGCAATGCGGACACGGAGCTGTGTTCTTCTCACGACTTTCTCGTGGCACCGAGTAGTCTATGGCAAGCGACTCGTCCCGCGCAAGCGTGCGCTCTTCGCTAAGCACCAAGACATCGCACGCATACTGAATCGCACGCGCGCGCGCGCTCTCCAGGAGCTCACCGCCGTATGCAACATCATTAGCAATTGCGTACCCTGCGATGGCCAGATGCGCACGTATTTGATGTGAACGTCCGGTGAACGGCTCGCATTGAACGAGCGACGTTCCATCCGGCAAATCTTGAAGCCATACAAACTTGGTCGACGCAGCCTTGAAAGACTTCAGCGCGCGTTCATCCAAATCCCTAGTGCCTGGTTTTTCTCGCCATAGTGCAACACGATTCTTTGCATCGAATCCCAACGCCTCGTCAATCGTCACCGGCGTCGGATCACTCGCGTTGAACGAACCTTTCACTCGCGCGACGTATTCTTTGCGCATCTCTCTCGCCTCCATCTTCTGCCTCATCGCATTCGCCGCCTTCGACGATCGCGCGAGCAGGAGCAGACCGGAAACATTCTTATCCAATCTATGAATGGGAAATAAGCGCCCCAAATCTCTTCTCGTCGACGCCAAAAGTGCGAGCACTGTGTTGCGCCTGTACTGTCCAGTCGGATGCACCGGCATCGTCGCCGGTTTACACACCGCCACAACGTCGTCGGTGACGCTCAGAACGCGCACGTCTTCCGCAATCGTCGGCGGTTCGTGTCGATGTATAAAATGTCTCACGCGCTGCCCACCCACTAGGATGGGTCCGTCCTCGTGCGTTTCTCGATTCTGGCCGTCGCTCGAAGCGGCGGCGCGCCCGTTCTCCTCCAACCGCAACCTTCCCGACCTGTACGCCTCGCGATAGTACTCGATCGGTCGCATCGGGAACTCTCGAGCGAACATCTCGCACAATCTCTCGCCCGCCCATCTCGCCTTGACCCCGCACACGAAATCAAAGTCGTACGGCGCGCACGTCCTGATTCCCACCGTCGCGTCCACGAGCCAATCTCTCTCGGCGTCCGGTGGATGCGCGAACAGATCGTTCGCCTCGAGCACCGCGTCGAACGCGTTATGCTCTCGATCGTTCCCGACCCGTCGCGATCGCTCGCGCGTCCTCCTCGTCCTCGTCGTCGCATCCGCGTCCGCCGTCGCGCGCTTCGCTCGCTTCGCCTCGGACATCGTCACCGCCGTCGTCGTCCATTCGCGCGATCGCGCGCGGTGTCCATTCGCGCGATCGCGCGCGTCGCGCGTCCTCGACGCCGGCCTCGATCGCGAACTCGGCCGCGGCGCGAGGTGTGACGACGCGTGCGACCGCACTGCGCGGCTCGCTCGAGCGATGTACGCGCGACGACGCGTGGACGCGATCGAGCGACGACCCGGAGAGGAGCCGTGCGAGACGTACGAGGGACGATCGACGACGCCGTTCGACGATAACGCGCGCGCGCGCCGGGCGTGGGCCGCGCTCCAGGGCGACGCGCGTGGGAACGGGGACGGGGACGGGGACGGGGACGCGACGAGGACGACGACGACGACGACGACGACGACGGGACGCACCGACGGCGCGCGAGAACTCCTGCGACGATTGGCGACGATGCCGAGCGAGGAGGAGATCGCGAGGTGGCGCGAGATCAGGGATGACCCGTGGACGCGACGCGCGCTCGAGGCGACGGCGACGACGGCGACGAAGGAACGAGGGAAGAGACGAAAGGGTGGGACCGAGGCGAAGGATGGAAAACCAAACGACGACGACGCGCGGATGAAGAAGTTAATGGAGGTGGCGAAGGATGCGGTGGAGAAGGCGAACGAGGCGACGCGACTTCGCGCGGAGGAATCGGCGAGATTTCTCGAGACGCGAAACTTTGCGGGTAAGATGGTCGAGGTCGAGACCGAGTACGTCGAGGGCACGAAGGAGGCCAAGGCACACGCGAAGCGCGCCGAGGCGTTGGCCAAGGGTGGGATCGACGCCGTTTTAGCGCAGCTCATGGAGCCCAAAAAGCTCAACGTTTTGGACAAGACGCGCGCCGATTGGCGAAGCGTCAAGGACGACGACGCCGAGCTCCAGGAGGACCTCCAGCACCACGCCCGAGGCGGGCGCACGTACCGCGAACAGCAGGAGTTCTTACAAAACGCCGATTACCGCGAGTACGAGCTCGAACGCGACGCCCGTCTCGCGTCGCGCGGTCGAACCGGCGCCCGCGCCGGGGCGCCGTAGCCTCGTTGTCATAGCACTCTGGCCCATGGACGACTGTCGCAGCGACGCGTGCTCAAAGACCCGCGTGTGGTGGTACCACACCGACGCCCGCCCGAGCGACGCGCGCGCGGTCGAGCGCACATCGCGCGCGCGCGGTCGAGCGCCCGTCGCGCCCGTCGCTCGGGCCTCGCGCGCGCTCGAGCGCGGTGGAATCACGCGCAGGTGGAATCGCGCGCAGGTGGGACATGGGGTCGGCGTCCGCATCCGCGCTCCCGTCGGGATGCGCGACGCGCGCGCTGACGCATCGCTCGATCGAGCGACGGCGGCGTGGACGACGAGCGGTGATGACGCGAGCGTCCAAGGGCGCGGTGCACCTGCTGGATTACGGCGCCGGGAACGTGCGATCGGTGCGAAACGCGGTGCAGGCGCTGGGGTTCGAGGTCTTGGACGCGCGAACGCCGAAGGATTTGGAGGGGGCGACTCGGTTGATTTTCCCGGGCGTCGGCGCGTACGGGAGTGCGATGGATATTCTCCGCGAGCGCGGTCTCATCGAACCGCTGAGAGAGTACGTGAGGAGCGACAAACCCTTCCTGGGCGTGTGCCTCGGCTTGCAGCTCTTGTTCGACGGCAGCGAGGAGAGCGGCGGCGTCGAGGGCTTGGGGCTCATTCCGGGAAGCGTCGATCGATTCACGGGCGAGGGGTTGATCGTTCCTCACATCGGATGGAACTTGGTGAACACCAAGAAGAGCAGTGGACTCATGGACGGCATGGAGGGTGAGCGCGTGTACTTCGTGCACTCGTATCGGGCGACGCCGACAGAGGAGAACAAGGATTGGGTTCTCTCGACGTGCGACTACGGTGGTGAATTCATCGCCAGCGTGCAAAAGGGGAACGTGATGGCGTGTCAGTTCCACCCGGAGAAGTCCGGTGCGACTGGTTTGGGGGTGTTTCAACGCTTCTTGGAGGACGCAAAGCCGACGGGACAGTTTGGACAGTCCGCCAAGGTCACCGACGGGTTGGCCCGGCGCGTCATCGCGTGTCTCGACGTGCGCTCGAATGACTCGGGCGACTTGGTCGTCACAAAGGGCGACTCGTATGACGTGCGCGAGAAGAGCGAGGGCGGAGACGTGCGTAACTTGGGCAAACCGGTGGAGTTGGCGGGCAAGTACTTCAAACAAGGCGCCGACGAAGTGGCGTTTCTCAACATCACCGGTTACAGAGATCTTCCGCTAACGGACGCACCGATGTTGGAAGTACTTCGTCGCTCGAGTGAGACCGTATTCGTCCCGCTCACCGTGGGCGGAGGTATTCGAGATTTCACCGATAGCAATGGGAAGTCGTACACGTCGCTCGAGGTGGCGGGCGCGTACTTCGCAAGCGGCGCCGATAAAGTTTCCATCGGGAGCGACGCTGTGTACGTCGCCGAAGAGTATTACGCGAGTGGGAAGAAGAAGACAGGTAAGACGAGCATAGAGCAAATATCCAACCGCTACGGAGTGCAGGCGGTGGTAATCTCCATCGACCCGCGTCGCCAGTACGTCGCCGAACCGTCCATGACGAAGAACAAGTGCATCGAAACCGCTCGACCCGGACCCAACGGGGAGAAGTACGTCTGGTTCCAGTGCACGGTGAAGGGCGGGCGTGAAGGGCGTGATATTGGCGCTTACGAGCTCGCGATCGCCATGGAGGCGCTCGGCGCTGGGGAAATTCTGCTCAACTGCATCGACGAAGACGGGCAAGGTAACGGTTTTGACCACGAGCTCGTGAGTCTCGTTTCGGATGCCGTGGGTATCCCCGTCATCGCATCCTCCGGTGCCGGATGCCCAGCGCACTTTACCGACGTTTTCAACGCCACGAAGTGCTCTGCCGCGCTCGCCGCCGGTATTTTCCACCGTGAAGAAGTACTCGTGAGTGAGGTGAAGAACCACATGGTTTCGCACGGTTTGCCCACGCGCACGTGAACTTTGAATTAGCAGCACCATGACACGATTTGTTATTTGAACCCAAAGCACGAATGTGTAAACCCATACCTCGTTAATCATCACACACGAATGCGTTGGTCATTACAATTAAATATCTCATGTTTGCGCTCCTCACTTATCCTGCGGTTGCAACGCGTCGGTGATGTTTTGCTTGAGGATGTCCGCCTTCGCTCCGCTCCACTCACCAACCTGTTCGCCGTTACGGAAAAGCTTGAAAAGAGGAACGACGCGCACACCCCACTCCTTCATCAACGCACGAGAATCCAAGTCCGTGTCACCCATGATCTTCACGAAAGTCACCTTTGGCAGCTCTTGCGACAGTCCCACAAAGGTTGGGTAGATCATCTTGCACGGTCCGCACGTCTTGGTGGAGATTTGCACCGCGATCAACCCGTCGCCGGCTTCCGCGGCGACGGCGTCAAACTCAGCCTTATTATTCGCGAACTTCACGTTCCCATCCGTCTCACCGGCGCCCGCGCGGACGCGAAAGGACCTCCGCGCGCGGTTCAAAGTCTTACCCTCGGCGCGTCGTCCGCGCGCGAGGACCGTCTGTCGGGCACTGCGATCGGGCGAACGATCGACATCGACGCCTCGTCAGTCTCCGCGCGCGTGTCGTCGTTCGCACCCTCGACCACGCGTCCTCACGCGCGCCGACCACCGTCGCGTTCGCTCGATCGCCGCGCCACGCATCGATCGCGTCAGCTCGCCATTCGTGCGCCCGTGCGCCTCGCGCGCGTCCCGGACACCGTCCGTCGCCCATCCGACGCCCGCGCACGCCGAGTCCCTCGCGCACATCGCCCGACATCGCGCGCCCATCGCGCGCGCACCCGATCGCCCGCGTCATCGCGCGCCCACCAATCGCGCGGCGTGACGCGGACGCCCGCGGTCGTGGCGCCGACTGTCCGACTGTCCGGTTTTATGTATGACATAAAAAAAGTACTACGATCGATGTGATCTATCTCCACTACGTGTTTCACCGCCCAATCGAGGCACCGCATCGGACGCGCGCCCCGAGCGACGGAGGCGACGTCGTCGTCGTCATTCTCACCTCGACGTGTTCTCGCCCGGGATCGGCGATCGCTGACGTGGCGATCGACGACGCGTCGAATGGGCACGCGGTCGAGAGGTTTCACGCGCGGTCGAGAGGTGACGGGCGCGACGGACGCGCGACGCCGCACTTCGCGCGTCGACGACCATGCTCGCGCGGATGAAAAAGTGTGCGTCCACGGTACGCGTCGCAGCGCTCGCGCGCGTCGCGCGGGCGTCCATGGGGGCGATGGATCGCGGAAGAATGATGCCGGCAGGCGTCGACGGGGTGTCCGAACCGTCGCGGACGTCGCGACGACGCGTCGCGACGACGACGGAGACGCGACCGCGCGCGAATGATGACGTGCGTTCGAACGCGCGAGGGAAGTGCCTGTGCCGCGAAGTGCTCTCCGCCGCCGCGTCGCGGTGCAAGGAACCAGCGAGCAACGCGTACGCCACGTACAACTGTTCTCGCGTGAGCGACATTCTCAACGCGACGTCCGGGAAACATCGAGCGTTCGGCAAGTCGCATTGGATAGACGGTGAAGCTCGCGTGAGCGAAGCGGTTCGGCAGATGCACGCCACGGATCTCGGCGCTTTGGTCGTCATGGATCGAATCGCGCTCGACGCCGACGCCACCGGCGTCATCAGCGACGAAGAGCTCGCGCTGTCGGCGGAGAACGACGCCATCATCGGCATCTTCACCGAGCGCGACTACCTCAACGCGGTCGCCAAAGGCGTGATCTCTCCGAAGACCAAAGTGAGCGAGATCATGACGGGGTTCCGAGACGCCTCGACCCAAGTGTCTCGCCTCGTGTGCGTCTCTCCCCAGGACACGGCGCTCGCCGCGATGGAATCCATGACGACGCATCGGCTTCGTCACATTCCCGTCATTTCGTCCAAGGGAATCGACAGCAAAACAAAAACACCGATAGAACCTCGCGTTCTGGGTGTTGTTTCGATCGGTGAAGTCTTGAAAGCGCTCCTCGCGGAGTCTCGAAGCGAAATCGAACACCTCGAGTCGTACATTCTCGGACTCGAGTGAACTCGAAGCCCGCAATGGTTTCAACGGCGGCGCGGAAGCGCCCCGACCGGATACGTTCGACGATCGATCGTTCTTTTCGTTCGTAAAGATGTGTATCTCGTGTATTTTTTGTAAGATACGGCCGCAACGCGCGCGCGATGGAAAAAGATGGTCGTCTCCGGCGACGCGTCTCGTTTTACATACTACATCCGTCTAATCCTTGATGAGCATGACGACGGTGTGGCACGCGATGCTACGATTTTCCCCCAACGAGTCCACCTTCTCGTGCGTCTTCGCCTTGACGTTCACGACGCTCTCGTGCACGCCCAGGACGTCGGCGACGTTCTTTCGAATGGCGTCCTTGTGCGGAGAAATTTTTGGTCGCTGCGCGATGAGCGTGCAGTCGATATTTCCGAGCGAGTATCCTTCGATCTTCATCAGCCTGATCGCCTCCTGAACGAACACATCACTCGTCTGTCCCTTCCACTTCGGATCTGTGTCCGGAAACAGCTGTCCAATGTCCGGCAGTCCCAACGCGCCCGTGATGGCGTCCACGACGCAGTGCATCAGCACGTCCCCATCCGAGTGCGCCACGCACCCGCGATCGTGCGGGATCTCGATCCCACCGATGATGAGCTTGAGATCCGGGAACTCCGTCGTGGATTCCAATCGATGGAGATCGAATCCGTGGCCCACGCGAAAAGGCAGCGGCGGAGGTTTCGTCGCGGACGCTCGAGCGCGCACGCGCGATCGTCGAGCGTTCGAGACGCGCGTCGCACCCGTCGTCGTCGTCGAGCGCCCCCGCGCGCGCGCGCGCGCGAGGGACGTCGCCATCCCACGCGTCGACGCGGCGTCGAGCGAGATCACGTTCGCGACGCGCGCGTCGTCGGGGTGTGCGCACGACGCCCGCGCGACGCGCGCGTGGTGGATCAGACGACGATGGGCGCTCGGTGTTTGTGGATAGTGCTAGGGTTCAGAAATACCATACCGTGGACACTCGACGCCCACGACGAGGTCACGGGCGCGTCGTCGGTCGGCGTCGGTCGGCGTCGGTCGGCGTCGCGCGCGCGTGGATACGTCGCGTCGACGGGCGTGGACGCGCGATGTCGCGCGCGTGCGCGGGCGGACATCGATCGATCCCGACGTCGTCCGCATCCACACCCGCGCTTTCGCGCTCGAGAAGACTCGGTCGATGGGAACACATCCGTCGTCAACGGCGAGCGACGACGACGACGCGGGCGTTCTTGAAGAAACGCACGGGAGTGGAGCGCGACGATGAGACGTCAGAGAAGCGTTCGCTCTTCGCGAGTGGGAGTAAACGAAGCGAGATTAGGATCCCTGGCTTTGTCGCGTACGTGGATGTGCGAGAGGCGAGCACCGAGCGCGGAACGAGAGCGATCGATAACGCCTTGCACGCGGGAGCGACGATGATCGTTCTGCAGGAACGCGGCATGAACGGAGGAGTGGGTGAAAGTGCGAGCGGACGGGCGCTGTATGAGTCGGCGACGGCGCTCAAGGATCTCGTCAGAGGACGCGCAAAGGTGCTGATACAGGATAGAACAGACATCGCGGTGCAAGCCGAGCTCGACGGAGTCGTCCTCACGGACGACGGTGTGCCCACGGTAGTCGCGAGAAAGACGCTTTCGCCTAAGGCGGTCGTGGCGCACGTGAGTGACGACGCGGTCGAGGCTGAGAAGGCGTCAAAGGAGGGCGCTGACGTGCTCCTCGTGAGCAGTCTGCGGACGCTCTCCGAGCTCAGAGAAAAGGTCAGCGTACCCATTTTTGTCGACGTCCAGGGCGGCGTATCGACGTTACTCGGGGAGGATTCCTCGACGCTGAACGGATTAACGATAAATGGGGCGAATGGAGTGACGATTTGTGACATCGTGAGCGACGAGATGTGTGCGGACGAGGCGCGCGTGAAGCTGGCGGTGAGCGCCGTCGTCGACGCCTTGACGCAAAACGCCGTGAACGGTGACTCCGTCGAGCGAGCGAGCGTTGATGGCGCCGAGAATGTAACGGTGAGACCGGAGAAAATAAGTCTCGTCGGTTCCAAGGGTGAAGAGTTGATCGAGCGCGAGCGCGAGCTCTCGGAGGGGATTTTGACGTTTTTACAAGACAACTGTCAGGATTTGGACGAGATCAAGCTTCTCGTCGAGGCGCGGAAGAGCATCGAGGATCTCTTCCTTCTCGTCATCGTCGGTGAGTTCAACGCGGGGAAGTCGTCCGTAATCAACGCATTTCTTGGCGATAAGTTCGTCGCAGAAGGTATCTTGCCGACGACGAACGAAATAACCGTGCTTCGTTACGGCGAGCGCAAGGCGCGAGAGCAGTCAGAGGATGGATTTTTCACGTATAAGATTCCCGCCGAGATCCTTCGGCAGGTGCGAATTGTGGACACGCCCGGGACGAATGTCATCTTACAGCGACAACAAAAACTCACGGAGGAGTTCGTACCTCGAGCTGATCTCATCCTTTTCGTCTTGTCGGCCGATCGTCCAATGACGGAGAGCGAGGTGAAGTTCCTGACGTACATTCGCAAATGGGGTAAAAAAGTCGTCTTTGTCGTGAACAAGACCGATCTGCTCGAAGAAGCAAACGACGTGAGAGATGTTTCACAATTCGTCAAGGATAACGCTGAACGCTTGTTAGGCGTGAACGACCCGGCCGTGCTCCCAGTGAGCGCGCGAAAAGCACTCAAGGCAAAAAAGGCGAACGCCAATTACGTCGGCACCAGGGAATTTGTCGATAGCGGCTTTGGACAGTTTGAAGATTACGTCATGTCATACTTGGGTGGCTCGGGCGAACGAGCCGGAGAGGCGCTGCGTCTTAAACTCTTGACGCCGTTGAACGTGTGCACCTTACTCCTCGACGCGGCAGAGCAAATTTTAGAGACGGAGGACGACGAAGCGAAGTCGGAGGTGGCAATTGCCATCGGGGTGAAAACGCAGATGGATGATTACACTAAAGAGATGGTTGCCGATTCCAAGGCGCAGCAAGAAGCGACGCGCTCAATCGTCCAGGCTGCTATCAAACGCGCGGAGCGCATCGTCGATGATACTCTGCGATTGTCGAACGCGCTCTCGCTGTTTAACACGTACATTCTGGGAACGGGCTCGAGCGGCGTGGCATCGCAGTATGAAAAACTCGTTCTCGGTGATTCAGAAGAGCGACTCGGCGCCGCGTGCGAAGAGTTCTCCGCGTGGTTGGATCGAAATAACGAAGCGCAGTTACAGGCATACATAGACGCCGTCAAGGGGCGCGGGTTCGACGCGTCGCTTTCATCAGTCGACAACGAAAAGGAGGAGCGCGCAAAGAGCCTGAGCGTCGTGTCAAATTTCGACCACACCGCCGCGGCACAATTGCTCGATAAATCCATCGGGAAGGCGGTGGAGACCACGATCGGTTCTGCTGGCGGAGCGTTCGTGGCGTCCTTTTTCCTCTCTGGATTTTTCAACTCGTTCTCCGAGGACGTGTTGGTGTACGCGCTCGGCCTCGCCGGAGCTTACATCGCCGTGTTATCACTTCCTCTGAAGCGCTCGGAAATCAAGTCGAAAATTCGTCGATCCGCGGCGGCTTTCTTGACCGAGCTCGAAGAAACGATGGAGAACGAGTGCACCACGCAAGTGGGCTCGACAACGCAGAAGATATCAACCATTTGCGCTCCGTGGGCCGCAGCTGCGCGCGCGGAGGCTGCGCGCGTCGCCGAGTGTCTCGAAGCGCGTCGCGAGTTGAAGAAGTCTTTAGAAAAAATGATGATTGACGTCGCAAATCTGTAATGATCGATGCGCTCGGTGTGCTATTGCAATGCTAATTTCATAATTGCTGACGCGCGTTCAACTCGTGTCCATGGCGTCCCCGTCACCGCCATCGTTCAAACTCTCTCTTTGTCGCTCGAATTTCGCCCGCATCTCGTCCAAATCTGCAACGTACTGCTTCAAGACTCCCTCTAATATCGCATTCGACCGCTGTCGCTCACCCGCGCTTCGAGCCTCGGCTGCGAGCGACAAGCTTTTCGCCAAGACGTCGAAGGATTTCGTCGCCGTCGTGGACGCACGATCAGCGTCGTTTTCGTTCGCGTTCACCTCACCAGGCTCACGTCGCTCGTCGGATGCAGGCATACTAGTCGCACGCGATTTTTACGCGCGTTCGTTCGTCGCTTGATGCGGCCTTGACGCGTCGACAAGTGAGAGTTTGCAGGTGGGCTCTTGTCGTGACGTTTTACACGCGGGGCCACGAGAATGAGACCGAGGATTCTAACGGGATCGAGCGCGTGGGCGGTCGCGGCTACACAGCACCACGTTTTTGAAATGGGTTTCTCTGTCGCGCGCGATGCGCTCCCGGTTTCGGAAGAGGCGGCGCGCTCGCTGCTTTTTCTTTCCGTCTTCGATGCTTTGGAGTTTTCCCTCTATCATACTCCTCGTCGAACTGGTCGTACGCACGACGCGCGCGCGTTCCGCTCGCAGACATTTTCGTTTGCGGCTCATGCGGCGGCGTTTTCTTCTTCTTCTTAGTTTGCTGCGCATCTCCGTCTTCTTCGTCCCATTTCGCAGACGTCGACGTCTTCGCTAACCAATCGCGCAAAGCTTCGCCATCGTCCTCCTTCATCGCATTTCGTGTTCTTACTGGCGCGTCCGAGGCGATTACTGCCGGAATATCCTCTAAAGTGACTCCAACGTCGTGACTCAGACGTCTCAATCGACGAAGTAAAAGCGCTCTCTTTGCAGAATCGAAAGCGCTTCGCACTGATGGCGATTTGCTCCGAACAATACTTCTGCCGACTGACGAGCGCACGGGCGACGCCCGGCCGTTCAAATCTCCAAGCTTTCTCTTTCCCAGTGACGGCGTCGAAACGTTTTCCTTCGATACCGTCTCTTTCTTCGCGCGAACATTCTCCACTGTTTCTTGTTTACGCTTCTCAGCAGGCTGCGTTTTCAGCTCTGCCGCAGCGCTCTTTGTCTCCAAACTATTCAGCGCTCTCGCCGCGTCTGGTACATTTTGACACAGTTTTTTCATTTGTTCAAATGTACCCGGCGCGTTTCTGCGCGCGTAAAACAATAAATAAGCCTGCTGCTTGAGTACCGTCTTCTCACTCACTGAGCTGACACTCTCGTCGTCCATCTCGCACCACGTCCCAGTCGCAGTCTTCACAAAGCAATAATAATGTCCACTGTTCGAGCTGCTTCCGGCGTGCACAAGCACGCCGTACAAATCGTACACTGCGCGATTCTTTGAATTGCGGTCTTCGTCAGAGAGATAGGGCGTCACGTCCAACACCAGAGGATATTCAACAAAGTGACTGAGTTTACCCCTACCGAACGGCACGTAGGCGAACCTCTTGAGCTGCACCGCGAGTACGTTTGGCGCTTGGTCCACCGTGAACTGCTTCGACGCCTTCGTGAAATGCGGCTTGGATTGACCCGGGTTCTTCCCTTCACACTTGTATTTGTTATCACCATCGAGTATCTCAGTGTGTGTGAATAACTTGAACGCCCCGAGCACGCTCTTCGCGCGTCCTACTTCCAACGAAAGATCGAGAAACGGGTCGAACGTTTCGCTATTGCGCCCGCACGTCTTGCAGTTCACGCGCGAACGAAGCTTTCCGCCAAACACTTTCCACACAAAGCTTGTCTCTCCTCGAGCGCTGTTCGGCGAAATCTTAGGCTTGACCAACTCCACGCACTTTTTGTGCATCGCATCAAGGAGGCAACGCGCCAACTCGTGCGCGTCCTCCTGCCGGCCCTTGCGAAATGTCTTTGAAAGAGCCCGCATGTTCTTAACCACTGCGGTAGGAGCGATAGTTCTCCCGCTCGAATTCAACGCTCGAGCGACGTGCTCACCGATCTCGTACATGGCGTTGAACGAGCCGCTCGTTTTATACTTCTTGTGCTCTCCACTGAGGGCAAAATGTGCCAACGCCGGCGTGTGCGTCAAGCACTGAAGCACCGAATTCAGAAAGCAGGTATTCCCCAAATTTGCTAACCCGGCACCCGCCCTACGAGCACCAAACCACGACATGCGAACGTCCCGAGTGGCGTATAAATCATCCCCTCGATCCATCCCTCTCGTGCTCATCCCTCGAGGCATCTCGTCTTCGGCGTCGGTCCCTTTGTTTGACGTCGTCGTCTCTTCGACGAGCGCTCCTCCGTTCAACACCACGACGTCCCGCAAAGAATCGGCGTCGATGAGCGGTCGATCCGGTCTTCTCGCTCGCACGAATCGTACGACGCGATCGACCGCGACGTCTTCACCGAGTCGCACCGCGCTCGTCGTCTCTAACGCCCGTCCGCGCGCGAATCTTCCCGCGGTATCACTCTCGGCGGCTGCGCGCGCCGTTCGCCCACCCCTCGCCATGCGACGACGTCCGAGGCCCAACGTCCGACGCCGCGTTCGCGGCCCGCGCGCGCGCCCTCGCCGCGCCCTCGCCCGTCGCCCGCCCGCCCTCGCGGTCCTCGCGCGTCGTCGCGCGCGAGTGTCCTCCCGGTGACCTACCGAACGCATTTAAAAACGACGCCACCAACGGGGCTCGGCGACCGCTCGAATGGACGCCTCGATTGATTTGGCGCCGCGCGGGTGTGTGACACACCGCGGTGCATCGACCCCGACGACGCCGCGCTCGTTCGCTCGACCGCACGACGCCGCGCGCGTGACGTCGATGGCGGCGCGCGACGACGCGCGACGCGGGCGCGCGGGCGAACGGGCGCGCGAGGCCACGTCTGAGGGGTGATCGAGATCGGCGTCGACGCGGCGAGCGGCGGTCGCGAGCGACGGCTCGGATTCCATCGCGCGCGTCTCATGCGCGGTGCGACGCGTCGAGGCGTCGCCGTCGCGGGATGGGGGGCGAACGCGAGCAGGAAAAGCACGCGAGAGGGACGAGCGACGTCGTCGAAATCGAAGACATCGTCGTCGCGCGCGCGCGTCTCGTCGTTGTTGTGCCTCATCTTGTTTGCGCTCGTTTGGAAAACGACGCGACGGGAAGCGACGACGCAACCGACGCGACGGGAAGCGACGACGCAACCGACGCGACGGGAAGCGACGACGCAACCGACGCGACGGGGAGCGATGTCTGCGGAGAGATTCACGAAATGTGACGCGCTCGTTGCGTCCTGGACGAAGAAGCAGCGACGCGCGCACGAGCAAAGGATGGAGGCTCGTTACAGTCGAGGCGATTTTCTCTTCTTCTTGCACGTACCGCGCACGGCTGGGCGTAGTTTTCATTTTTGCTTTCTCAAACCAGCGTTCGAGACGAGCGATCTTTGCGGAAATCAATACATGGGAGTGACAATCGATCCAAGCCATCCAAAGTGCAAGTTCTTAGCGACTCACGATGACTATAGCCTGGTCGAACGGTTCGAAGCGCAGCCGCGCATGGTGGTCATGCTGCGCAAACCGTCGCGGCGCGTGTTGAGCGCGTACGAGTTTTCAATCGAAGTCGCCGCTCGGAGTTTTGGAACTAATCCAAAAAAAATTGAAAAGCGCGTCCAGACGCGCCAAGTCTGGCCGTGGAGCACGCTCACGACTCACATTGACGGTGAGCTGCGCGGGTACGACGAGGCCATCAAGGCGAATCAAAGCAAGATAGCGATCTCCGACGTGTACGATAATGAACTGTACACACCTTTCGCGGAGTGGATCGAGATGGAAATGGTCCACAACGACGTGCACAACGGCCAATTCTTTCAAGTGCTGGGTTTGTCGAACAACACGGATGCGGAAATGGAGCCGCGAGCGAACGAGTTGCGTGCGTGCGCTCTTCGCAGAGACACTCCGGCGTCGCAGGCGCTGATGGAGTACGCGAAAGAGCGTTTAGAGCGAGAAATCGACGTGGTTGCGCTACACGAACGTCTCGCAGATTCTATCTCGCTCGCCGCGAAGACATTGAATATACCGCTAAACGCGAGCGCGCATTTTGTTCATCCGGCGCACGCTGACGTCGCCACTCTGAGTGAAAGGTTATCAAAGAGACTGGGCGATCACGCATCGAGCGAAAGTGAGAAGGTAGAAGTAATTGGTTTCGTGTTTCGCTTTCGCAACGTGAAGACAACAGATTTGGCAAAAGTTAGCTTCCGCGAGTCGTACGTGGACGCGTTGCGCCGCGGCGTATCGATGAAATGCGGCGTCGACGTAGATGCCGTGCGCATTCATCCTATGAGTCCGGAAGGGGATTGGTCGAGAGAATTTAACGGGTTTCACATGATGACAGTCACTTTCAAGACGCGCGACGCTGTTGCGCAAAGCTCAGCCGCAGCGAGTGAGCCGTACGACGACATGACAGAGGACCCTGACGCGTTGTACGACGCGCTCAAAGTCGGCGACGCGGAATTTTTTCAAAACGTCATCGCAATCAACGTCAAAGTCGACCAAAGTTACGGTGAATTTGAGTTGAGCTCGTACGGTCGAATCGATGGAACCAGCGCAAAGGCAACGACGGCGATGGCGCATCCCATCTCTCGCACTGTAGGAGAGCAGTATAGGGTGTGCGAGAGCGGCCAGTTTCGGAAGTACGCCCGGCTTCGAGCGAATGCGTTGAAGCACATCACGGAGAAAATTCACGGCGCGTACGAGACTTTCAGCGATCTGGGAAGGAATCGCATATCTCGAAAACTTATCAAACGGGTCGACGATTTGAACTTCCTCGACTACGAACTTTGGAAGTTCGCGGAGGAGTTGTTTGAGAAACGTTTTAGAAACGAGAACGACGCGCATTCGCTCAGTACGCTACCACCGGCGGAGAGAATCGAAAAGACGATGTAGACATTTTTAGTCGTCCGCGTTCGTCACTTTTCGGCGCGTATGCGATGGCATGACGTACGAAGAAATTCAGAAAACGTATCCGCGCGAGTATGAGATGCGCAGATAGAACAAGCTCGCGTATCGATATCCACGAGGCGAGAGCTACCTGGACGTCATCGCGCGCCTGGATCCACTGATACAAGAGTTAGAAAGTTATCGCGAAGATATTCTCATCGTGGGGCACCAAGGCGTCTTGCGATTAATCTACGCGTACTTCGCCGGTCTCGACAGAGACGAAGCGGCGACGCTATCGATTCCGCTTAACACCGTTATCAAGCTAACGCCGAGAACGCACGACTGCATAGAAGAACGCTTCCTTCTGCACGATCCCACAAAGAATGCCGAGCCGATAGATCCGCCCAGCTACTGAAAGGTAGTACTTGTACTTGTCAAATTACAAAGGTATTTACTATTCAATGACATCACCGGGAGTGATTTGCATGTCTCCTCGCTTCGTCTTCTGTGCGCGTCCCGTCATTCGCGGGACGGAACGTTTTTCTGTTCGCCTGGAGACCGTTATTATCAGCTCATTCATCTCTTCATCAACCTTATTTAGCGTTTCGGCCTCGTGCCTTGGTTTTTCTTGGTTCACATGTCTCGAGGTACTCGAGCGATTCTTCGACGCGCACGATGAAGGAATCAGGAAAAACACCTGTACTTTTGTCTAGACCAACGACCTAAACCCTACTAGGGCAATTTGCGATTGTTCCACTGATCGTGGTGAGCGCCGAGCTCTCCTGCGCGATCACGCGCGTGGCGTCGCTCAAACCTTTACAGACTTTTTGGGTTTAGGTTTAGGTTGACGTATGGTTTAGGGTTTGGGGTTTAGGGTTTAGGGTTTAGGGTTTAGGGTTTAGGGTTTAGGGTTTAGGGTTTAGGGTTTAGGGTTTAGGGTTTAGGGTTTAGGGTTTAGGGTTTAGGGTTTAGGGTTTAGGGTTTAGGGTTTAG